GCACATACCACAGGGTTTCACGCGTCCATGTGACTCCCGTGTCTGTCGTTTGCATAAATCGATATATGGTCTTCGTCAGGCCTCACGAAATTGGTACCAAAACTGTCTAGTGCACTACTGAGTTTTTCGTTTTTCCCAGAGTCAGGCCGACCATTCTCTGTCATTCATCGATCTGGATCTAGCTTCGTTGTCGCACTAATTTATGTTAACGATATCATTTTAGCTGGAAATGAAGCTAAGTTCATTCAAGATGTGAAAGACTTTCTCCACGCTAAGTTCACCATCAAAGACTTTGGGTCGTTGAAATATTTTCTTGGCATCGAAGTTGTAACACTCTGACATTTTGATGTATGTTCGACCAATAATCGGGTTGGTTAGCAATTGGGTAAGGTAATTCCCATTACTAATTGTAGGTTTAATTTTAGTTTATTCTAATCAAGGATTAGTGAATGTTAATTAAATAAATAAAATGAAAACCTACCGTTACCCTCTCTCCCTTTATTCTCCCGAACGGTTCTCTCTCTCTCAATAACCAAATTAAACACACCCGTTACTCTCAAATCCCCTAGTAATTGACCCTAATTGACCCCCTTCAGCCTTCTCCTCTCTAAGCATTCCCCCAACAACAACATAAGGGAAGGAGAAAGAAGGAACACTAGTAGCGGTCCCCATCTCTCTCGTCCGACCTCTTCCTGTCGCCGGCAAGCGAGTAGTCCGGGCACCTCCGTCTATCGTTGTCATGTTCATTCCTGGGGAACCCAAAGACGGGACGACGAGGATTGTGATGAGAGACTACTTTCACAATTTGGGCGAGTTGAGGAACAGGGACCTCATGGCCTGGTGATTTAGTCTTATCAAGCGTACGGGGTCATGTGCGGTCCGGGTCAAGGTTGATACCCACGATGATAAGTCCGAGCGAGGACTGAAGAGGCGACCCGTGGGAAAGTCGGAACGTTGGTGAAACAAAGACTGGCCGTTACTGAGGTGGTCGACGGTGGTGGTGATGGCACTAGGGCTGAATCGATCCTTAAGGACGATGATGGTGGCATGACAGAGCAGGTGGATTTAGCTATGGATAGCGCTGGCGACTTGGACAGGGGAACGATGATGACAATGGAAGAGAGTTAGGATCGTGGCGGCTGAGGCAAAGGATGGCATGAATGAGGATCGACCATGGACTAAAGGATAGCTATGGCGTTTATGTGTGGCTGAAGGGACGTGTCCACTAAATGCAATTGGAATGTTATTGACACATTAGCTTAGATTCCAAGTGTTGCAATTAGAAAAATGTTGGGAAGGTTGAATGACGCTGATGCATCAACAGCTAAGCTTGTTCTAAATTGATTCACCAGGAATCGTCGACGAGAAGGAAGCTCTAATTAGAGGAAAAGCTAACTTGGATGTGTCAAGTAGTGGTGGAAACATATGGTCTAACTATCGAGCGATTAGTCTAGAGTTCGATTCAAGTCAATCGGCTGGAAAACCAAGGTGAAAGGGGGTAAAATCTCCGTCGATGTCTTTTAGTTTATGTCTTTTAATTCGGTTATTCTGGTTATTTTTCAATTAAGTGTGATTATGTGTGTGAGGCATCCCACCGCATGTAAGGAGGGAGGCACGCGTTGTGCTATGTATGAATGCATGATTGTGATAGTTGATTATTAGTAAGATGAACCCCCGGGCGGTTGGGCCACTACTGGACGCAGTAGATGGTCGGATCACTGCTGGACGGCGAGACGTAACGCAACAGTTGATCGAGTATTTTGGGTCACTACTGGACGGCGATACGTAACACAGTAGTTGACCGGGCATGGACTGGACGGCGATACGTAACGCATTACCATTGTCTTGAGGATAGGGATACCGGACGGCGATACGTAACGCGGTGATTCCCTAGTAATAAGTATATAAGTTAAGGTAGTAGTAGAGAACTTCTATAAGCTATTAAGGACTAAAGTGTTAAGGAAGAAAGTGAGAACGACTTTCATCTAAGGAAAGGAAACGCTAATAGCGTGTTTTAGTAAGGAGGTTTCTTAGGGCAAAGACTTTAGGAAGTAACGATGAGACTGACCCCTTCTCACTCACCAGGTCGAGGAAGGGTTAGCAGAGGCGGATTTCGAGAAGAGGCAAGGAGATGCGTGCAGCCGCACCAGCATTAACGAGATGTCAAAGAGCTAAGTGAGGAGTTAGAGTTAGACTTGTGTATTTTTTATGTTTCATGATTGTGAGTATATAAACTGGAGATTCGAGATTTTGAGTTTGTGTGGTTTTGTCGACTATGTATTTGAGGTTGCCCACGTGTTTAGGACATTTCATTTGAAAAGGATTCCGTTGTATTCCTTTTAAATGAAATCTTGAGTATTATTTTAATCGGCTCCGGAGCCATGGTTACTTCGATTCGTTTAAAAGTATCGGGACGTTTCAGAAGTAGCTCGCTCTCACAAGGGCATTGTTCTAAACCAACGTAAGTACGTCTTGTACATACTCGCTGAAAGTGGATTGGAGGGCGCACGTTCTTGCGCAACCCCAATTGAGCAAAATCATCACATTGGTCACCTCCCGTCTGAGCCAGCCGTCCAGTTATCGTCGTCTTCTAGGTCGTCACTTTATCAAACGGTGACTCGTCCCGATATACAGTATGCAGTCGACATACTTAGTCAAGTTGTCCATGCGCCAAATCAAGCACACGTCTCTGCCGCGGTTTGCGTCCTCAAGTATCTGAAGCAATCGCCAGGTTGTGGTCTTTTTTTCCGAGCTTCTGGTTCTCTCACTCTTACTGTCTACTGCGATGCTGACAGGGCCGGTTGCCCTGTTTCACGTTTCTCTACCACTGGTTACTTTATACGAATTGGCGGTGCACCAATGACTCGCTAAAACACAACTCCTAACAATGGCCAAGTGTAACCAATGGAAGGGACTGCAGTATAGTGGCTCAAGTGATAAATATCGAATCCACGGGTCTCTAGAGTTACTATTACTCAGCTTCAGTTTATTATTTAGCAAACCAGATCAAGATAAAAGAACTAAAACTACTCTAGCAAACTACAGTTAAAGTTAATCTAATTACAGGTCGGGAACTCACTTAGGTATGATTCCCCCTAGCCACTAGCCAGATTAACGATTGATGATCTCTAACCTGTTTCACTTTCATTCACAATGCGGAGAATCCTTGACTAGACCTTGAGTCTCGACTAAAGGAACAAGGCCCTCTTGAGTCAATTGCCTAGAGGGACGTATCCTTCTCTAGAACAACTGATCAAGGCGTTCTGAACTAGACTCCCTCTATCAAAAGAGGTTCTCAATCGATACAAAGCAGTGAATCAACCCTCGACTAAAGCAATCGATCCACTACTATCAATCTATGGTGCTCTATTGACCTAATCAGGTATTCCCTCTCATAGAATCAAAGCAGAATCAATAATCTCGACTAAAGCAGAATTGAATCATGAAAACATGCATGGATTGAATATGAACTCAAGATTATCCAGTCAGAGTACTCATACAATCATCCAATCAAACAAACATAGCTAGGGTTCCTCAAAACCTAAGTGAAGGGAAGTTACTCCATAGAGAAGAGAGAGACTGCAGTAAGAATCTTCAGATGATCAGTCTTCAAGTCCGGGCTTGTTCCTCGAGCTTCCAAGGTGAAGAAATCCTCCTTCTCTACTCCAAGAATGCCCTCAAATCGCCCTCTCTCTCTAGGGTTCGTCCCTTGGGTGTTTGGGATCCAAAACCCAGCTCCCTCTTCTTTGGTTCGGAATTTGGCTTAAAACCAGGAAATCCCGACTCGCACGGCCAGGGTGCACGGCCGTGCACATCACCATTCTGGCCGTGCACCTCAAAACGCGGCGTATCAATTAGTTGAACCTCAGCCAACTCGCACGGCCAGAATTGTATGTTGCACGGCCGTGCGGATTTCACTTGTGCCCGTGCGTGCCCACGCACAATCCCGCACGGCCAAACTGGTCACTTGCACGGCCGTGCGTGGCCACGCTGGTCTGCCCGTGCAGCTTGCTCAGCCTCTGTTTAATGCTTCGTTTCTCCCTCGTCCGGACTCCGAATCAATCGCCGTTTGATCCCAGACGCTCGTAGTCTCGTCCTCTTTCGTTTCATAACAAGCTTGCATGATTCTTTGTCCATAAAGTGAGGTAGAAATCCATTCTTCTTCAGGTCATGCCCGAGTTTCTTCTCTCGAATCGTCAATTGATCTCTGATTGACTTGAAACTTGCGCCTATGCTTCACTTTATGTGCTAGGACCTGAAATGGGACAAAGGAACACAACCTAGCATAAAATAGGCCAAAGACGCAATAATTCAAGCTCAAACAATCAAGAAACAAAGGGGAAAACATGTGCAAATACCGAGTCATCAAATCCCCCCACACTTAACTGTTTGCTTGTCCCCAAGCAAACCTAACTCAAACCAATGCAACTCTCCAGACCTCTATAGCAACAAACAACCCAGATCGTAGGTAGAGGACTTCCTAGATCATTTAGCAGCTTACGAGGTCAACCGACGCACAAGTCATCTCATAACTTCTTCGGCGAGTCGGCATCATGGCAAATAGTGAACAGAGGACAAATGAATTGTGGATGAGGAGATTCTCAAAAACAACAGATCATGGACTCACATTTTTCAAGGTGCTCTATTTTCTGCTTCTTGAAGATGGTTGAGACCCCTTTTTTTTGTTTTGCTTGTTTTCTGATATTTTTCTTTTCTTTTCTTTTTCAAGGGTCCCAACCTGCTCTTACCGGCCATGCCAGGAGCAGATGTCTCGAGCCTCGTGCGGGGGAAAGACATGTAAGGGGGCTGGAGGTAGTAGGTGGAAATTGGGAACGAATTCCCGTCTCCCCTTACACACTTTCGCCCTATTCGCACGGGAGACGTTTATTTTGAAGCACATTTTCGAGCACCTGTTACTTTCAAAACATGATACAAGAGTCCATGACAGGTAGAGAATCCACAACACTACACAATTCAAGGGTCCTAAGATCACTAATTCACTCAATCAACCAACTTTATATGAAGAAGAAATGAGACTTCTTAAATGCATCAACATCCTCCATAGTGCTACACTACCTCCCTAGGTTGCATATTACTGTAAAGACTGTCAATTCAAAGCATACTGAGCAGGCAATTGCATGGAACACGTACTTGGAGCCCTCAAATTTAAAAATTTGGACAGTGGACTAGGCTCCAAGCACACAAACAGCCAAACATTCACCCGCATACATAATCGAACACCCCCCCACACTTAAGCACGACATTGTCCTCAATGGAGGAAAGATAAGGAGGGTTGAACGAAGTTACCAGATCAAGGGTGAATGATGATGTACGGGTCAGGCAGTGCAGTCCAGGAAGAGAGAGTAATCAGAACACAAACACCACACAAAATCTCACAAAGGTTGAGTTATTGACTCTAAAATCAAATAACAAAACTGACTCAACCGAGGAGAAATAGAGAAAGAAATGCAAACCGACTGGTTGGGTTGCCTCCCAACAAGCGCTTCTTTCACGTCGTGAGCCGGACGATGGCTCCTAAGTTTCGGTCCATGCTAGAACCTCCTTGAAGTTGAGGTTCTCGTCGATGAGGTGGAGTCTCAAGTCACGAGCATGTGGTGTGGCAGGTGAGGAAGGCTCATGTACTTGATGCAGATGAAGTCTCCACCCTCGAGACCTCTTCTTCTCTTCTCTCGTCTCATTGCCCCAAACCAGATAAGAAAGCATCGATTGGCCACCATCGCGTCCACCAAGAGGGACCGATGTCGAGGTGGCCTTGGTCTGGCAAAGAGACACTGCAAATGGGTCCTTGCTAAGCAGTTCCTCGAAGTTTGGTGGAGATATCACATGTAACTCATGGCCGGTGCAAGCCTCTTCCACCTCAACTTCGTCCTCAGCCTGGACGCCAATTGCTTCTTCAACCTCCCTTCCTTCTTCATGTGGTATCACCCCTGGGAAATGATCAAGAACTCCTCCAGCTTCACTTTCGTCATCCTCCACAACTTCTTTCTGCACCCTTTCTTGCTCTTCTTCTTCTAGCACGGATTGGAGAGCAAGTTGCCAAGCAATTTCTTTCATGAGATCTTCTTGCATCTCCTCACTCATGCCCGCCTCTTCAAAGCTCAGTTTGGGGTGTGGGAAGGTGTGGTCGGCTACGACATGACACGCCTGATCATGACCATCACGGGAGCTCTCCGTGACAACTTCAGTGTGTTCCACAATGCCCTTGTAGCCTTCTTCTTCCTCCTCCTCTTCTTGTATGGTAGCAGAAGGGTGATCTGGAGCAGGTTGCGCCCAAGATCGCTCAAGATCATCGACGCTCTTCTTAAGGCTCAGGAGGATCTCATTTGTTTCACGATAGGCCTGGACACACTGATCCATCCTGGAGCATGTTCTCTCACAGTCTCGAGCATACTGCTCCATGAGTAACTCCAGCGCCGATGGCCCTTCTGGTTGTGGGAGAAATTCTTCTTGATAATGAGGTTGTTCTTGATATGCCCAGGGGTCCGGTTGTTCTCCGTAGTAAGGGGGTTGGTACTGGAACCCGAATCCATAGTCTTCTCTGCCTTGATTGCTCCACGGAGTCTCGGGGTAATACCACCCAGATGGTGGTGGATACCCCCAATGATTGGAGAAGCCATTAGGATCCATGATTCAGATCTGAACCAACAAAAACAAAAACACCCAAGTGAAAAGCAAGGGTGGAAAAGAAAAGAAACGAAAAACGCTAAAGTAACAAACTTCTGCCTTTCCTAATACTCTAGAAAGTCCCCGGCAACGGCGCCAAAAACTTGACTCGCTAAAACACAACTCCTAACAATGGCCAAGTGTAACCAATGGAAGGGACTGCAGTATAGTGGCTCAAGTGATAAATATCGAATCCACGGGTCTCTAGAGTTACTATTACTCAGCTTCAGTTTATTATTTAGCAAACCAGATCAAGATAAAAGAACTAAAACTACTCTAGCAAACTACAGTTAAAGTTAATCTAATTACAGGTCGGGAACTCACTTAGGTATGATTCCCCCTAGCCACTAGCCAGATTAACGATTGATGATCTCTAACCTGTTTCACTTTCATTCACAATGCGGAGAATCCTTGACTAGACCTTGAGTCTCGACTAAAGGAACAAGGCCCTCTTGAGTCAATTGCCTAGAGGGACGTATCCTTCTCTAGAACAACTGATCAAGGCGTTCTGAACTAGACTCCCTCTATCAAAAGAGGTTCTCAATCGATACAAAGCAGTGAATCAACCCTCGACTAAAGCAATCGATCCACTACTATCAATCTATGGTGCTCTATTGACCTAATCAGGTATTCCCTCTCATAGAATCAAAGCAGAATCAATAATCTCGACTAAAGCAGAATTGAATCATGAAAACATGCATGGATTGAATATGAACTCAAGATTATCCAGTCAGAGTACTCATACAATCATCCAATCAAACAAACATAGCTAGGGTTCCTCAAAACCTAAGTGAAGGGAAGTTACTCCATAGAGAAGAGAGAGACTGCAGTAAGAATCTTCAGATGATCAGTCTTCAAGTCCGGGCTTGTTCCTCGAGCTTCCAAGGTGAAGAAATCCTCCTTCTCTACTCCAAGAATGCCCTCAAATCGCCCTCTCTCTCTAGGGTTCGTCCCTTGGGTGTTTGGGATCCAAAACCCAGCTCCCTCTTCTTTGGTTCGGAATTTGGCTTAAAACCAGGAAATCCCGACTCGCACGGCCAGGGTGCACGGCCGTGCACATCACCATTCTGGCCGTGCACCTCAAAACGCGGCGTATCAATTAGTTGAACCTCAGCCAACTCGCACGGCCAGAATTGTATGTTGCACGGCCGTGCGGATTTCACTTGTGCCCGTGCGTGCCCACGCACAATCCCGCACGGCCAAACTGGTCACTTGCACGGCCGTGCGTGGCCACGCTGGTCTGCCCGTGCAGCTTGCTCAGCCTCTGTTTAATGCTTCGTTTCTCCCTCGTCCGGACTCCGAATCAATCGCCGTTTGATCCCAGACGCTCGTAGTCTCGTCCTCTTTCGTTTCATAACAAGCTTGCATGATTCTTTGTCCATAAAGTGAGGTAGAAATCCATTCTTCTTCAGGTCATGCCCGAGTTTCTTCTCTCGAATCGTCAATTGATCTCTGATTGACTTGAAACTTGCGCCTATGCTTCACTTTATGTGCTAGGACCTGAAATGGGACAAAGGAACACAACCTAGCATAAAATAGGCCAAAGACGCAATAATTCAAGCTCAAACAATCAAGAAACAAAGGGTAAAACATGTGCAAATACCGAGTCATCAACCAATTTCCTGGCGTACCAAGAAACAGTCTGTAGTGGCGTGTTCTTCTGCTGAAGCCGAGTACCGAGCTATGGCTACTGCTGTTAGTGAGCTTATATGGCTCCGATGGTTGATGACAGAGCTTGGTCATCCTCTTGCTGCACCCACTCCTCTTTATTGCGATAATCATGTTGCCCTCCATATCTCCGCTAATCCTGTCTTCCATGAGCATACCAAACATGTCAAAATGGATTGCTACTTAGTTCGGGAACGCGTTCTTGCTGGCGATATATCTCCTTGTAAGATTGCAACGTCTGAACAACCTGCTGATCTTTTCACCAAGGGTTTAGGATGCGATCATTTTCGTGGATTGTTGGTCAAGCTCGGCATGCTTGACATTCACGCCTTCGCTTGAGGGGGGAGTGTAGAAGTATTGTGTCCGTGTGTCTTACGGAGCACGATGTCGTGTTGTAGCTGTGTTAGCGCAGCTGTCTTGTAAGCTACGTTTCCTTCTCCTGTCATTAAAGGATACATAAGCCTAGTTGTGTTAGGTTTTTAACTCAAGTCACCCACATACATATATATATATATATATATATATGGGTCAGACTCGTATGCTCCCGGTACAAGTCATACTCCAGATTCCCTACACCGTCGATCTAATCTAATGTACATTATTAATTTTAATTAAATTAACTATTGATTTATAATTATAATTACCAACTACATCCATTCAATTCTTATACGTGCACTATAGCCCCATAATTAAAATACCTTGATCTCTCCACTTCGCCCCGTACATCACGAGCCTCCACTACAAAACCTCTCAGAACTTATGAAGCAGTCCATCTTCATTCAACCCAATTAGCATCACAAGTCGTCTTCTTCCTATTCCTGGTTTCCTCCCCGGCATATCCCACCACCAATTAACATCACAACTTCTAAAGCAATCTATTTATCCAAAAAAAGACCAAATTGCTAAATCCGGTGGAGGATTTTGTGTGTCTATTAGTGCCTCCAAAGCTTGAAATTTTATTTCAATGGTGGTAGTTGAGCCAAAAATTCAGGAAACAGGAAGAGCAAAAGAAAGATCTAATGACGGTTTCCGCAAATCACAATTCTCACACCCCTGTCGAATTTTCTGCCTAGGTCAGCAAAGCTAAATCTACTAGTTGCATCACCTCTCCACCTTCCACTGCCTTAATGTTCCTCCCCCACGGAGAAACCTCGACCAGGAACTTGGCCGTCTTCGTCTCTTGATTCGAGGCCTGGTTCTTAAAAGTATTTATCACTCCCAAAAAATTTGGATATCGCGTTCACTAATTGAATATTGTCTGTAGATTGGAAGGAAGATCTGATAGGATGTGGCGTAGGCTTGCGATTGGTAGTTTGAATTATCGGTGATCTTTGATAGAGTACGAGTTAGGTCTCGTTTAACGCGAGCTTATTTGATTCGGAATTAGAGAGCCCACTTTTGTGAACTGTCGCCCTAACTCGTCCGTCAAATGTTATTCATCTCACCGTCGATGGAATTGACTCTGCGGATGCCAATTGTTCGTTGCTGGTAAAATGTCGCAGAAATTTGAAGGGGATTCAGGCAGATGATTATTATAGTTTGGAAGCTTTGAAGGTAGAAGATCAAGAGATGAAATAATTAGTTCTACTTCTTAGCTTCTTGTATCTGTTGGAACCTTTGAAGTTTGAAGGTTAGAAGATGAACAAATTTTCTGGTGGTGAGAGTGTGCGTACAGAATAAGGAGAAGGAAGAAGATGAGTTGTCATTTTGTTAAAGAAAAACAAAATTAAGCTATATGGATTCTGGGTTTTCAAAAGTGATCTAAACAACAAAGTTACGGTGAAAATTATTGGGGACTATTTTGCATACATAAATATTTAACGGGTGGAGTTGGTAATTATGAATGTAAATTAATAATTAATTTTCTCAGAATCAATAGGGGCCATCCGATTAAATCAACGGTGTAGAGATCTGGAGCATGCTATGTACCGGGAGCACACGAGTCGTATCCATATATATATATATATATATCTGCTGCGAGTCCCTGTAAGTGGCAAGATAGTCAATTGATCAATAATAAGATCGTCAAACCGAGAGCTCCTTCGAGCTCTTCGTGGATTAGTCATGTTCACATCGAACAGGGATACCATGTAAATCCTGCTTCCGTGTTCTTATTCCGTATTTGTTTTCTTCACCCTTGGCATCCCCATCGAAACTTATCTCCGTGAGGCCGCGACCCAGACACCAAACAATAGCTTCTCGGAGCACCAGCAATTCCACCACCATAGGGTCATCAATAATTGGGAACTGAAACCCAGTAGTCATAAGGACATCCCTAGTTGGGTTCATAATAATGATCACGCCTGCCGAATGAGACCCCCCCCCCCCCCAGTAGCCCCATCCCACATACAAACAAGTCGATTGGCCCCCAACGGACCCGATTGTTGTATCTCAGGGAGCGAAGGTTGAGGAATCCGGTCCACCGGCAGACGTACCCACTCCTCATATTGCTGATTAAATTGACGCATGAAAGCAGGAATCCCAAACTGTTTACCTTCAAAGAAAACCCAGTTACGAGAGCGCTAGATCCTCCATAGGACAACAACAACCGCCATGAGCATCGTAGGCTGACGCAATAAGGACATCAACCGCTTAAGAAAAAGTGGGAAGGTGTGACACGAAAAATCCTCTCCCAGATACTTCAGTCCTGAATAATCTCAGAGAGCACGGGCCACCGGACAACAGAGCAACAAATGCTCCATTATCTTTGACTCGTCCCAACAAACCGGGAATCTGGGTAGCAACGAGACACCCTTGTCAATGAGGGCTTCCGTAGTTGGCAGGATTCGGCTGAGGATTTTCTAGACAAACACTTTCAATTTGGGCAGGAGATTAGCCTCCCATAGACGAATCCAGCTTGATTTATCCATCCAACTAGCCTCTGACCGCCAACGACCCTTTCGCTTATCAAGAGCAACAGTTAAATGGTAGGTCGACTTAACTGTGAAAACCCCCTCAATTGTGTCATTCCAAATCATTTTATCCTCCACATTTTGACGCGGAAGAGGGATAGCTTTGATGGCACAACAAGTAGGCTGGTCAAACCACTAACTAAGTTTGAGATCACACCAACGCCATTCTCCTAGAACAATAACCTCGGCTACCAAAGGACCCCCCCCCCCCTCCGGTAATACCTAGGGATTATACCTAGAAGGATTAAGCTGCAACCGAGGTATCTAGCTAGAATGAAGCAAAGAAGCAATCTTCTCATTACCAATTTGCCATCGTAACCCCGTCTCCAATAACTGTCGACCATACAGTATACTCTGACATCTCCATGAAGGACGAGAACGAGCAGTAGCTGTGAGAAAGGTCCCAGCCAAGCCGGGAAATACTTTCCTTTGTAGACCTGAGCAAAGCAGTCAAAATCCCTATTTAATTCCTAAAATCCTACGATTTTACAACTTTACTTACCTCTTCCGATCTTGATTTCACTATAAAATCTATGGACCTTAAAATCCTATACTATTCACTATTTAAATCCTTAAAATCTTTAGAATCTTACGATTTTACGATTCAAATCTTAGTGTCAATTTTACATGTTTACCCTAGAATTTGCAAAATTATGCCTCTTTTCCTTCTCCTCCACCGAAGTTCTCGCACACTAATCACCATCGATCATCATCAATTCACACCAACGTATTAATCATAATCAATTCACCACTTTCCAACATTAACTTTGATAAATTGGAACATTAACCTTGAAAAATTATCATTGTAAGTTTTAAGTATTTTTGTGTTATTCATGATTTTCCTTCTTAATATTATTCCTTCTTCGTTTTTATATGGACCTTAAAATTCTACAATTTTACGATTTTGATGTCACCCCATTTTTTGATTTTACTTAAAATCTCGATTTTGACTGCTATGGACCTGAGCTAAAAAGAGACTAGGGTTCAAAGCGGCGGAATCCCATCCCCCATCATGTTTACTTCGGCACATATTACGCCAGGATATCCATCAAATTCTCGAATGACCCTCTTCAGCACCCCACCAGAAGCGGGCCACATGTTTGTCCAACAAACGACATAGAGATTGGCAACTTGAAGCAGGATATCACATGCAATGGCAACGCCAAGGCAATAGATTTAATCAAATTTTCCTTAGCCGCACAAGATAATGTCATCTGCTTCCAAACCTGGAGCCGGTCGAGCAATTTCTCCTCCAAATAACGGAAAGTAGCCATTTTAGACCGGGCAATCAGCGTAGGCATCCCAGATACTTATCCTGGACCCCTACCGCCCCGACTCCTAGAATCGCAGCCAAGAGTTCTTGGTCCGGCAAAACAATGTTTTTACTCAAGCAAACTGCCGATTTAGCCAAGTTCACCCTCTGACCACTAAGCTCCTCATATTCGTTTAGGACCTCGATTAAATTCTCACACTTCTGGAGAGAACCTCCCAGGAATAAATATGAATCATCTGCAAAGAACAAATGCGAGATCCGAGGGGCACGAGGAGCCACTTTAACTCCTTCAACCTTTTTTTCCGAAATAGCCTTGCGAAGGAGCGCTGCATACCCCTCCGTGCAGAGCACAAACAAGAGAGGAGATAGAAGATCCCCTGTTAGAGTCCCTTGGAGGGAGTGAAGTAACCCGATGGAGTGCCATTCATTAGAACGAAAAATGACGACGACCTAAGGCATTATCACTATTCTACATCTATCCAACACATGCTTGGGAATTCCTTAGGCCTTCATACCCACGCAGCAACCACAGTCGAATTTGAACTCAACGGAGACTTGGATTATTCTTCACAGAGAAGCAACATCCGAATTTGGAGAAATCTGCTTTCTTTCTTCCCCTGGAGAAATACTCCATTTGACACTTCGTTTAGACATTTTGATTTTGATGCTATCTTTTTGTTCTAACTCTTTTTATCTAGAATCCCAATTCAGCTGGTTTCTATATATGGCTCCATCTCTGTATTGTTTTCTATCTCCAATCCATCTTTGGTTTCTAGGAAGATGTTACAAATCCTCCTTCAAAATCCACAATATGCAAGTTTGCCATGGTAAGTGTTAAGATTAGCTAAAGAACAATATGAGGCCAAAATGGCAAAATCGTTATATAAAATGAAAATGGTGGGGGGCAATTCTGACTCTTTGGGCAGATGTCAAGACTCTCACAAAATTTCTCAGCTTCAAGACCTGGTTTTTATATATAGGTAGAATTAGAGAATATGCGCTTGAGCGTGAACCATGTTAGTGTTGGCACGAATCTGCTTTAGTTTCGTTTATCTTGTGTCGTGTTTAGGATGACATGTGATTTTTTGATGTGCCAACTCATTTTAAAATTTTCTCGGCCCACTTAGTGGCTGAGTACGGTTTGAATCGTGTAGTGCCTATTCGGGCCCGTATTGTGCATAATGAAAGAAGGAAAATAAATGCGAGAATAAATATTGAGAAAATTGGATGAGAAGTGAATGCATTAGTTGAAAAGGTTTAGAAAAATAACAAATTAGAAAAATAAGTACAACGATGGTGATTTGACAAACAATGTTTTTAATACTTTTCGGACATTTATATATATCGTAGTAATTACATTTAATAGTTTTATGATCACTACTAAAAATAATAGTTCATTATTTGTGTAGTTATAATTTGGGATGAGATTAGGTGCTAACCTCTTAAGGAGTTAGCACCATGCTAACTAGTTTTTCCACCATTGATTTTAAATTTAATCCGATGCTTAAAATTTAAAAGGGCTAATTTAGTCAAAAATCAAACCATTCCTCGCAAACCCTAATGTATATGCGTAATTGGCCGCCTCTCATTCTTTGAAACCGTCTGCCTCCCTCCCATCTCTGTAACTGCAGCCGCTATCTTCTCTCTTCCTCCTCCTCCGATCAAAGGTGTGATCATCACAAACCCTCCACTATCGTTCTCCTCCTCAGACTGGCGGCGTGGTAATAAAAAACAGTGGTTCGGCGATGGCGATGGAGAAGGCAAGCATCGATGACGGCTTTGAGAGACCAGAGCGACGCCATCAGATTCATTGAATCAGAAGCCGTTAAGGCCATTCACGCCTTAGATATGCTTTCGCCTGGACAGTGGTGGCCGATTCCAGGGAGGATTTCGTTCAAATCGGCGGCGGGAGAAATGGCTAACGAGGGTAAGAGGCGCTTGAGAGATGATGAAATATAGCAGGAGTAGCAATTTTTTTCCAGATTTGTAGTACTGGTTTTCATACATGTGGTAATTGTTTTCAATAGCAATGAAATATAGCAGGAGTAGCAATTTTTTGGTAGCGATTGTATAGTACAATTTAGTAGTAGGTTTTTTCAATAGTGGTTTCCTCTCACCTAATTGTGATTTGTCACTGATTTATGTTAATAAAGTAATAATAGTTTTTCGTATTAGTAGTGATTGCATTATTATTGCTATCTAAAATTCATCAATTACTACTAATCTAAAAATTCTAAATCAATATTGATACCAATTAAATCACTATGAGAGAATATAAAATCACTACTACAACCACCAAAATCACTGCCAATTTAAGTAGTAGTAATTTTTCAGTAGTAATATGTTTACGTCTAAAATTTATATTGAAAAGAAGAGAAATAATTCAACAGTTAATTTTTTTATTAAATTAATTTTTTTATGTATACCGAATATGCCCTCACTACTCCCCACCATTAGATTTAGGTTAAAATAATGAACAGTGATTAGATTGTTTATTACGGTGCTAACTCATAGAGTTAGACTGTAGCTCGTCCTTTATAGTTTATAATTTTTAACTCATAATTCTCTATAAAAGAAGTCTTTTTTGTGTGCCACGTTGTGCCTTTATTAGAGTTTTTGGATTTATTTCCTATATAAATGTACTTTGGATCTTACGTCAGAATTAGTCAGGAATCAATGATCAAACCTTATCCAGTTTATCTCTCTCTTCTTCCCCTAATATCTTCCAATCCCTAATCCCTTGTCCCTAATTTTGTTCTTCCTATCTCAATTCTCCTTCTCAAATTCCTAATTTTTATTCCCAATCCCTCAATCCTTTTTGGACGATATTTACCTCCAACCCGGTATGGAGGCTCTCTCTACAACCCGTCCACATGTGCTCAGTCTATTGACTGAAATAATTATTTTATTTTTCTTTTCTATTACCATTGATCATTAAACATTAATGACTAACGGAAGGAAAAGAGACGGAAGAATCATTTCTTCTCTTTTACCATGCAACCTTTTTATATTGGTCCTTCAATAAGTCGGTAAAGAGGAGAAGCTAGGGGGTTAGCACCGTCCTAACCTTAATCTACACCGTCCACATCTAATTCTAATTTAATGGCTATAAAAATACTACGGATAAGCTAGGGATAGCCTCCATTAATTATTAATTTTCGTTTTTAAATTAAATTTGTTTCTGTTAGTGGGCAGATTTTAAGCGATTGAGGACGGTTGTTGCTTGCAAATAATTATTAACGTAATTTCTCGGGAAAAATAAATGTGTTCCATATTAATCTAATATCACGTCTCCCTCTTTAATTATTGAATTCACTATTTAAAACCCAAAGAAAAGTTGACTTGTTACTGCTACACATAAACATCTATATCATAAAGTTAAACCCACTACTACAAGAATTGCAAATGGGAAAAACTACTACTCTTCTTCCAAACACTACAACCCAGCTAGGAGGGCTAAAGAAACAATACTAAACCAACACAAAAATACTACTAATCATAATAAGAAACACTATTAGAATGTAATAGTTATTTTTTTGTTGTGATTTTGTAGTAGTAATTTCATAGTAGTTATTACAAAACTGTAGTGATTTCATAGTTTTAGTAACGATGTTTTATAGAGATTCTAAACTTTTAGTAGTGATTATTGATTTTATATGAAATGTATATCACTACTAGCACCAATGAAATCGCTACTACAACTTAACGAGACATCAAATAACTACCAAAAATGATAAATTAAATCACTATATCTCTACAGGACCATTACTAGATAATATCTATTACCATAATTACTATCAGAGGGATAGAAAGTGGGAGAGGGAAAGGAGAGGGACACGAGGAAGAGTAGGCAGAGGGAGAAAGGGAGACATGAAGGATGGGTAGAGTGAGAAACAATTAATTGTGAATTTTTGTATTCTAATTTATTTAATTCAAAATTCCTAAACTGCCCCTAATTAAAATATCCCGTGGATGTGAAATTAAAAGATGAAGGATAATTAATGGGGTTAGTAGGATGCTAAACATTAGAAAGTTAGCAAGCCATCCCGTCCCGTCGGTAAAGGGATTGCATGAATTTAGTGAATTTAATTAAACATAATAATAATTTGTGATGTATTTCATAAATAAAAAAATATTAATCTTATTTATTGGATTCAAGTATAAACATTTCGGTGTTGACGTTAAATGTTGTATTTAAATATGACATGGGTTCTGGTACAAAATCTCAGCTAACCCTCCATGTCATCTCATTATATCACGACATTGTGATACGACCAAGATTTTGCAGGCCGGGATTGTGTACCCTATATGTTCTCTTTAAATATTAATATTTGTTAGTCTATTTGTAATGTTAGTATCGAGTTGCCCCAAAAAGCCACAACAAATAAAAGAAAAGGACATTAGCAATATTGGATAGAGCATGCTTAATTACTCTCATAAATTTATAAAAGCGAATAAAATCGAACAATCACCTGATAGATAGATGAAACTTATTTTACTTCAATTATTCTCATACCAAATAACCACCTGCAAAATGACCAATCAAAGAAGCACAACTATGGTGCTAAAAATCTCCTTTTCCGTTAGCGTTAATGGTATTAGGAAAGAAAAATAAAATAATTATTTCAGCTAATAGATTGAGCACATGTGGACGGGTTGTAGGGAAAGCCTCCATACCAGGTTGGAGGTAAATATCGTCCATCCTTTTTTATCTATCCGGTTACGTCAATCGTAAGAATTCGTGTTTCTTACAATTGGTATCAGAGCCTGGTTTAATATGAGTTCACAACTCTCACACGAGGACCAGACCACGCCGTGGGAGGCAAAGGTTCGCCGAGCCTCGGCAGAGATCGGGCGAGTCACGTTGGCGGTGGAGGGCGTGGGCACCATAGCGACCAAGCTCGACCCAACGGGAACAGCCGAGGCGGCTGGTCAGCAGGCGGAGGATGAGCCGGCAGAAGAGGCAATGAGGGAACCGCCGCTAAGGCGGAAGAGCAGCCAACTGAGAGTTCCAGCGGTGACTAAAAATCCAGCAGTGGATGGAACACCCCCGACAACCACCATCGAGCTCGCCACGTCATCACCAGCCATCGTCGATGATGTTCTGTCTGTCTATGCGGGTCGACCAGCTGAAGAGGTTGCGCCGGACAAGGCGTTTCTATCTGCTGTCATTGTTCCAACCTTGATGACCATCAGGCAACATCAGAGAGCGCGATTGAATCCTTCATGAAGGAAGAGACGTTTGCAAGGGAGTTTGGATCAGATCGGAAATTTGATATGACATTATGGGTAAATTCAAGGGTTAATACCTTACTATGGTCTGAACTATGACCATGTAATCAACTTTGGCCCGTGGTTTGTGAAATTAACATCCTGGCCCGAACTATGCAGCATAGAGACAGAATTGGCCTTGAGCGTGGTTTGACCGTTTGTTTAGACGGTCAACACCGTTGACCGTTAGTCAACTGTCCAGGTCACTGTCATGTCACAAAAAAAATTATTTCTTCATTTTTCTTTTTATTTCCATTACAAAATCGAATAATAAAGAAAAAAAAAACAGAAAACCCAGGCCACCCATCCCCACCTTATCCCCTCAGTTTTTCGATCAAACCAAAATCCCTAACCATTCGCCTTCTTCCTCCTTCTTCCCCGACGAGGCGCCGCCTCCATTCTCTCCGTTTCAAATGCAGCGGCGGCCGGTCGTTTAAAGACGACGCCGTCGCCGTCGCACGTTTTCATCAGAACCCACATAACCCATCCTCGCCTTCTTTCATTTTCGATCAAAACCCTAACCAATCGCCTTCTTCCTCCTTCTTCCCCGACAACCCGCCGCCTCCATCATCTCCGTTTCAAATGCAGCGGCGGCCATAAATCCTACCCAGAACCCTCACCTGTTCCTCGCGCGCCATCCCTTCCCCACCCTCTTCCCCACCCTCGAACCCCACTGTTCTCTCCCTTCCCCACCCTCGAACCCCACTTTTCTCTCGTCAACAACAAAATAATCCACTTCTTTGTAGGCCAACCCTTCCCCACCCATCGCTATTTTCTACCAAACGCGAAGAAAGTGAGGTTCCAGGGACAACTCTAGCAAGGGACCACTTCGAGGACCACTTCGAGGACCACTTCGACAAAATCTTGTTATTCAGTTAAGGTAAGCAATCACTATCCCTCGTTCCTATATTATGAATACGTCCAAGAAATTCGTTTTGTTCACATGTGGATTGATGCATAGTGGACATTAAACAATAATAGTTGATTTGTCTTTATCGGCTTAGTGAATTTAGCGATTTGTCTTTGTCGGCTTAGTGAAGTTTGCTTAGAAAAGTGTGTTTTCGATTTGTTTATGTGCAGAATGGAAGACCCAATTGAACTCATTTTATGCCATGGAGGATTTATGGATATGACAGGGGCTGTTCCAAAGTATGTTGGAGGTGATGAAGCTGTGGTGAACATGGTTGTCGATGTATTGTCCTATTTCGAGTTAACAAAGACTCTAATTGAAGATTTAGAGTATGTCTCCGTGGAAAGGCTTTGGTACTTGACTTCGGGTAAAAGTATGGCCACTGGATTGCACGAAATTCATTCAAACGCGGAGGTTATAGGGGATCAGAGGAGTCTGCTCATGTTAGAGGCAACATTGGTGAACAAGATAATGTCGCCAAGTTCGACAAAACCTTGCTTTATGATCCAAAGTGCGATCATAAAGCATTGAAGTTCGTCACTTGTATGCGCTTTAAATCCCCTGAGCAGTTTAAGGCAGCTGTAATGAGGCAATCAATTGAGATTGGTGTTGATATTAGATGGGTAAGGAGCAGTGACTTTAGGAAGGAGGCTGTGTGTGCGCAAAGGAAAGAATATTCATGTAAGTGGAGGGTATATGCAAGTTGGTTTCGCAAGCACGAAGCATTTATGGTGAAAGGAGTTGGACCAGCTCACATTTGCCCTCGTTCACTTCACATTCGGGCAGCAGGTCAGAGGTGGATAGCAGAAGAATTTCTTGAGACATTTAGGGCAAATCAGGGTTGGGATGTAGGCCTAATAGCTGCTGAAATTAAGCGGAAGTACAATTTGGTGGTGTCAAACCAAACTTGCTACCGAGCTAGGCTAGAAGCGCGTCGCATGCTATATGGATCATTGGAAGAAGATTTAAATCAGATTAGATCATATATAGGACATCTTTTGAAAGTTTATCCGCAAGGTTCGTTCCTTCTCGAGGTGGATGTAGATCCGGGTTGTGACAAGGTGTTCTTCAAGAGGCTCTATATTGTCTTCTCCAGTTTGAGCAAAGGATTCCTGGCAGGATGTAGACCCTTCTTCTGCCTCGATGGTTGTTTCTTAAAGGGGGAGGTTCAAGGAATGCTTCTATCTGCAGTTGGTAAGGATGGGAACAACCACATGTTCCCAATTGCGTGGGCAATAGTGGAGTCAGAGAACAAATCCTCTTGGATTTGGTTCATAAGCGCATTGCAAGACCAACTTGGGACAGCTGACGGATGTGGGTATACTATTGTCTCAGACCAACAGAAGGTAACTACTTTATTGCTTATGATTACTACCATACCTAAATTTAAATCACATGGTTTACTAACTTTTTCAATTTCACACAGGGTCTTGTGGAGGCTTTACATACCTGCGTGCCAAATGCAGAACACCGGAAATGTGCTCGGCATGTTCATGCTCACTTCCGGGAGAAGCACAAGACGGCAGCAGCTACTGATTTGTTTTGGGAAGCTGTCTACTCTCTCAATAACGCTGATTGGACGGATGCCATGGTTCGAATGAAAGGCCTTGGTGGGACTGAGTATGCTGATTTTATGGCTCAGGTAATCTTTCTTTGCTTATTATGTTTGGATGGCTTGTATTCAATTGTTTGCATAATCTAATATGCAATTCACTCTACAGGAACCAGAGCACTTTTGTCGTGTATTCATGAAGACATTCTCCAAGAGTGACTCTGTGGAGAGCAACATATGCGAGTCATTCAATAACTGGATATTGCGATTCAGGTCTCTCAGACCGATTGCAATGTTGGAGGGAATTCGAGTTTCTGTTATGACTCGACTAGTGAAGAACCGAAGGAAGATGTTGCGATGGAAGGACACTTTCCCACCGGTGGTCAGAGGGAAACTGGAGAAGTCAAAGCATGAATCGAGGATGTGTACTAGTCGTCTGTCATCTGAGACGATGCATGAGGTTGCTGTCGAGAACAAGGCCTTCGTGGTTGACTTGAAGAACCGGACTTGTACGTGCGGTTGGTGGGCACTAAATGGTATTCCTTGTAGTCATGCTTTTTCATCCATCAGAAGCATGCGAGGACAACTGGATCTTTATGTTGATGCTTTCTTCAAGATGGACTTTGTGAAAATGGCATACAAGTTTCCCATTCCAGCATCGGAAGGCCGACAAGCATGGATGCCGGTGTTTGGGAACAAGGTATACCCTCCTCGGATTAGGCTCATGCCTGGTCGTCCAAAGACTAAACGTCGAAGGGAGGCTTGGGAGGTCCGAAGCAAGCAAGCTAAAAATGGAATTGGGGAGGTTGCTAGTAGGGAGAACCTCTCGGTTCATTGTGGGAATTGTGGTGGAGAAGGCCACAATTCGAGGACATGTAAGAATGAGCCTGCTGCCCCGAAGACTGCAGCTCCTAAGAAGAAGAAGCAAGCACGCCCGACTCCGGCAGTTCACCAAAACTTTGCTGAATTGATCTCGGTCACCTTCGTCAAGTCTTCAAGCATAGCCAACTTCTCCTGTTTCCTTTTCTTTGCTTTCTCTTCTGCCCTACGAAGTTGTCCTTCAAATGCCTCCAATGTCGACTTTAGCCGCTCATTCTCTTCCATAAGTCCACCAAGCATAAAGTCACTCTCTGTGACTGCATCAACCCAGCGAAAAAAACGACAGTTCTTCTCTTCATCCTTCCAAAACGGGCAAGAATAAAACAATCTTCCAGGATTGTCATCTGTTCGAGAAGTGTTGACAACGCAGGGGGCTCGGTGGAAGTTGCATCTTATGGGCTTCGTGCTTGACGAACCAGAAGAGGATGAAGCTTTGGTGGCAATTTTCCCAACTCGCCTGGACATTATTGCACAGAGGTGAAGAGAGCTCGAGATGGGTCGGGTAGAAAAGGAAGAAGAGATCGCGAAAGGGGTCTCGAGCCGTTTTTTGATAGAAAGCAAGAAGGGAGCTCGAAAGGAAGAAGAGATTGCGAAAGTGGTCTCGAGCCGTTTTTCGATAGAAAGGAAGAAGGGAGCTCGATTTCGTTTAGGGTATGGAGGCGGTGGGTCGTCGGGGAAGAAGGGAGTTGTTTCGGATATGGAGGCGGCGGGGCAGGTCGTCGGGGAAGAAGGGATTTGTTTTCGTTCGGGCTATGGAGGCGGCGGCTCGTCGGGGAAGAAGGAGGAAGAAGATGGAAGATAGGGTTTTGGGTTTGACCGAAAATGAAAGAAGGTTAGGGGATAAGGTGGGGATGGGTGGCCTGGGTTTTCTGTTTTTGTTTTTTTTTCTTTATTATTCGATTTTGTAATGGAAATAAAAAGAAAAATGAAGAAATAATTTTTTTTGGTGACATGGCAGTGACCTGGACAGTTGACTAACGGTCAACGGTGTTGACCGTCTAAACAAACGGTCAAACCACGCTCAAGGCCAATTCTGTCTCTATGCTGCATAGTTCGGGCCAGGATGTTAATTTCACAAACCACGGGCCAAAGTTGATTACATGGTCATAGTTCAGGCCATAGTAAGGTATTAACCCTAAATTCAATGGAGTTTGATTCTTGGGCTAATACCACTGGGAAACCCGAACTATTAACTTTGTGTCATTTGTGTCCTAAAGTATTCGATATGACAATTGTGTCACAACGTATGATAGTTATGTGTCATTTACGTCCTGACGATTTCGTTGACCGTTATAGATAACGGTTGACCAAACGGAAGTCAACATTAACATTGACTTTTGTTGACGTGGCAGCCACGTAGATGCCACGTCAATGACACCTCATATTTTTAATTAAAAATTAAATAAAAAAATAATATATTGTTATAAAAATTAAAAAATGTAAATTCAATTAATATTATTTCTAAAAAACTCCTCTAATCCTCCCAACAACAATTACCAGCAAGACTACCCTCAAGAAGAGTAATTCAAACAACAAACTTCTCCGCCAGCAATTCAAGGTCCTGAGAGTCGATCGCGCGATTGGCGCCGGAAGCTACCGCGACGCCGAGCCTCCCGGCGCTGCAGAGGACGGTGGCGACCAGATACTGGCGTCGGAAGAAGACGAATCTGGAGCAGGGGAGATTTCAACGAGCAACGAGCATCACCGAGTTCGTCGCCATCTCGAATCGCGAGGAGACCGACAACGAGCATCACCTACTCCCATTCAAACGAGCATCACCTACTCCCATTCTTCTTCTCCAATTCTGATTTCGTTTTCAGTTCGGCCGCTTTGGGGATTTTGTGAGTTCGGCCGCTGTCCACCATCGAATACAAAAAAAATCCCCAAATTTTAGGGTTTGGTTCACCGCCACTGTCCGCCGTCGGGCTTCCCAATCGGATCCTCTCCTCGCCAAAGAGATCTTCGATTACGCCTCTCTCCAGCCCAATTTCCAGCACTCTTACCCTTCCTACCTCGTTCTCATCCGCAAGCTCGGGGAATCCAAGCACATCTCCCTCGTCGACGTCGACGCTCTCGTCGGCGAGTTGAAATCCAAGCGCTACCCAGTAACGCCGGCTCTCTTTTCTTCTCTAATCAAGATCTATGGAGAGTCCAATTTACTGGACAAGGTTCTGGGAACATTCCACAAGATGCTGGAGTTCAACTTCAACCCTCTGCCCAAACACTTGAACCTCACCTTCGAGCGCCTCGTCTCCCGCCGATGGAGATGGGGGTTTACTTTTTATTTTTGTATTTTTATAATTTTCTTTTTTATATGAAAAATAATTATAAATTAATATTATAAATTCCACTTCAGATGCCACATCAGCGCTTACTAGACTTTCTGTTAAAAACTAACAGTCAATGTCGGTCAACTATAACGGAAAAATAGTTTAGGACACAAATGTCGTATCGAATACTTTAGGACACAAATGACACAAAGTTAATAGTTCGGGTTTCCTAGTGGTATTAGCCCTTGATTCTTTTATGGTTATTCTGCAGGCGGATAAGGGAATGGTCGATTGGAAGTCTAAAAAGAAAAAGGCTCTACTCTAGGGGTGCTCAATTGACTTTCAGATTTGGAATGGGTGAAAGCGATGGTAGCAAGGGAAATAGACCGGGAAGGGCAACGACAAATATCTTCACCGCAATGGTTGCCACAGAGCCGACCATCACGCCCTTGTCGCCAAAGCCGCAGAAAGCCACCATTGCCTCGGCTGAGTCGCGCACCATCACGCAGTTGACTTGAGTCCAACCAGTTTAGCACTTCGATCGAGCTTAATGTTTGCCTCCCGCACCCTGCACTACAACCGTTGCTTCGGGGTTTCTAACCATGGAGCAACCAACCTTCCCCGACAGTACTAAGAGACGAGATGGTCCATGTATTGAGATGGAAATTTGGAAAGAAAAAACAGGAGCAACGACCAAGGGCGACCGGAAGGGAAATGAAAACTGGTGTCCATAATTCCGGACAAATTCAGTTTGGACTGAATTGTTATTATCCAAGAGCTTGGCATCTCATATGAAGTTTGAGCAAGATTGAGGTGAAGATTTCTCGGGACTTGGCGATTGGGATATTGGAGTCGGCTAGGCGTTTGGGTTTGTCAATAATGGTTTGTTGTGTGTTGTTGTCGTGATCTAAGTGGGTGCTTAGAGCTATCTTATCTTGGAGGCGCAAATCATCATTGAAATTTGAATATCATCTCCTAGAAGGTAAGATATAAGATCCTAAACGCTATATTGTATTCTCTCTCTTCTTCTTTATGAATTAGCTTTCCTTCACTTAGGTTGGTAAGTCTAGTTCTAGATTTTGGTTTGATTGTTGATGTATGCAACTTCGTTCCTTCGCCCTACGGGCTTATATATTCCCTTCCTCTCTTTTTAGTCGAGCAACTTCGTTCTTGTGACTGTGACAAATCCTATGATTGACTACTCTCATTATCTATTTGATTGATATTTATGATAAATTTCATGAGTCTTGATCCCACTACATTTCAATTGAGATTTTGACCTAGGAGAGAATACCCCCTAGGTTGAATATAGAGCACCTTGAATCATTACTATAGATATTTGAACGAGTGTGATAGGATTTGTAGTGCCATATTGGGTTTTTTCCAATCGTGGGAGTTGGTGGTGAACACCTCAATTGCCTAGGTCAATTGTGTGGTACGCCCCTGTGTGTAGTGCAATTGAGCGGGGTTGGATACCTCGAATAGGGGGTCTAACCTAGTCTAGAATTCTCTGCTGTATAAGTATCCAGTCAATCAATCTAGGGTAATACTCATCTTCGAATAAATGACGCGATTAGGGAGATTCATGCCTAAGTGAGCTCCAAAATGGGGTAGTGGTTAGGTTAGTGCAGTTAGTTTAGTCTTAATCACTGTTCTTGTTTGGCTAATAACGAGCCTTACTTGAAGCAACAACTGATAGAAACCTATTTCTAGGGTTCTATCGATTGGATTGGGAATTTGGGAATTGATTGAGATTTAGGGATTTAGAATAGAATTGGGAATTAGAAGAAGAATTTAGGGGTTGAGGAAGAACAGCCGAAGCCTTTGAAGAGAGATAGAGAGGGACGAGATTGAGGGAGAAAGATAGACTAGGGTTGGGATAATTTCGTATTAACTTTCTTGATTGCTTCTGAATAAAACGCAAAGTACATATTTATAACGTAAGACTGGAAAAACCTAATAGACTATACTAATATAACTCAATAACTACTAACCATATCTAATAATATCCTAATTATAGTAACGATGATAATTATGGAATAACCCGGAAATTAGGTTTCTATCATCCCCTCCCCCTTGAGACCAACCTTTCCCTCTAGGTTGACCGGCTCGACCCATTTCTTCACGTCGTCCATGCAAACCGCGCCTTGGCTCCTCCCTCTCTGGCGCTTCCTTTTCTTCCAATCCTGTTCTAATTCTTCACTTGGGTCTCTTGCACCGATCTCCTCTTTTTAGCTCCACTATTTGAAGCGAATTTCCATGGGCCCACTATTCGTTTTCGTGACACGGTCAAACTCCAATAGCTCCTCTTTTATTAGCATCGCCCTCGAGCAACTTAATGAATCAAAAAATACCTTCTTGTGTAAGAACCCATCATTATGTACCAGCTCATCAAGGCCTTCGAACTTCTTTGTTGGAGCTGGCCCATGACCTTGATTTGTTACTTCTTCAATTGCTGATGGTACATGCTTCCTTGAGAACTCATTTACCAAGCCCACATATTCATCTTTCTCTTCTTCTAAGCCCACACCATATAATGGGGATTCAACTAAATAACTCATTTGAATCCCAAACCTTTCATGACGAGACCCATCATCTCCTTGAGGCCCGCTAAGCCTTTCTTGACTCGACCTGTTACTTAATACATGTTCAACCCGTTGAGATTCTAGTTTCGGCCCACCTTGCTGATCTGATCGCCCCAACTGATCCCAAATCTTGGCCTGCCCTCCTGACCTTTCCGGCCCACAACAAGCCCACTCTTCTGGCCAACATTCGGCCTGCTCGGCTTGTGCAGCCCAGACAAATCGATCCCGACTGACTCTCCCGGTCTGTGATGTCGGCTTCTCGGAAGCGCTTCAATGCACCAAGGAGGTAGACCTAGGGTTCGTGAGAAGAGGAACCCAACCGCCAACCTCCTCTTTCGTCTTCCCCTTCCCCATCATCGCCAGCCGTTGTCACCTCCATTTCCGGTGACGAGCGGACCACCGAGCGACTATGAGTTCGGTCGAGTTCTTGCCCCGCCTTCGGCTCCTCCTCGTCTGTCCATAGCTCCGACTTTTTCGCCCGCGACGCGCGTAGAGGCTCACTGCCTCCGTCTCTCTTCTCCAGCAACTCCTTCCGTGGTGGCGATGGCTCGCTCGCTTCTGGGTTCGTAGCCCCTCGCACGGCAGGAGCCGCCGCTCGAGATCCCTTTTCCTTTCCCGTCGACGGCAGCGAGAAATCCTCCAGGCGTATGGCTGGCGGCTCCCATGTCGCCGAGTTCTTTCTTCCGACGGTGATTGCATCACCTGAGGCAGTCCTTGATCGTCGGTTCGGATGGTCAAGATGGAAAACCAATGCCGCCTTTGCCTCGCGTCGTCGATCAATCCCGATGCTGAGTTTCACCCTCATCGAATGAATCTCTGGGTTGATGGGCACTAGAGTTTGGGTTGTCTGGATCTCGGTTGTAAAGGCGGCCGGCGAAGGCGACACTCTATTCATTGTGGCGTCACCATCAGCAATCGTCAACGCCGTCGTCTGGCTTTTGTCGTCCTCCACACAAGATGTCTTCTCACGATCCTTGGGGTTCCCAAAACAAGAGCCATTTTTGGGCCCTGGCTTCTTCTTCATGGATTTCCAATTAACCTTGCCATTCTTCTCTATTGAATCACTGGTTAGAGACTCAAGTTCTCTGAAAGTCTCCTCCAATTTTCGACCCGATTCAACAACCCTGTTCACCAGTGAACGCGCCCGCTCGTTCTCCTCTAGCGGCGCAATCTTTGCAATCTCACCGCATTGCTCCGCCGTCTCCTTATTAGAGACAACGGCAGGGGCGATGCAATCTCGTTTTTCTTCTTTGACTTCGGATGGCGGAGGTATGGTGGCTGCGGCAACAACTTCTTCTCCGAGGATAGAAGCCACAACCAGCTTTGGCTCTCGCGACTCCGGTGCTGCGACGGTGGTGATGGTGCTTTTAATGGTGGCATGATCTTCTTCTTCTACAGGTGAGATTGTTTTAGGAACCCGAACGCGGAGGTTACCTATTCCGAAGCCAGCGCTGCATTGGGCGACATTGTAGATTCCTTCGAGTTCGGTGTGCCTTCTAAAACGGATCCATCTATGGTCGTAACCCAATGGACGCTCCATCGTGATGAATAGCTCTCCAGATGTCGATTTCTGCACCTCTATGTGGTCTCTCTCGAACTCAGGCAAGAAGAAGGAGAAGCAAACGTACCGATGATACTCCGTCCTAGTGGTGCTTGGTTCGAGATCTTCATACATGCGTTCTTCCCTGGTTGAGAGTTCTGACGAACTCAGATTTGTGACCATGGCTCTGATACCAGATGATAGAAACCTATTTCTAGGGTTCTATCGATTGGATTGAGAACTTGGGAATTGATTGAGATTTAGGGATTTAGAATAGAATGGGAATTAGAAGAAGAATTTAGGGGTTGAGGAAGAATAGCCGAAGCCTTTGAAGAGAGATAGAGAGGGACGAGATTGAGGGAGAAAGATAGACTAGGGTTGGGATAATTTCGTATTAACTTTCTTGATTGCTTCTGAATAAAACGCAAAGTACATATTTATAACGTAAGACTGGAAAACCCTAATAGACTATCCTAATATAACTCAATAACTACTAACCATCTACACATAATATAATACACCGAAGGGAAAAACGGGAGCCCCATTTCAAATTTTCTGCAATGGGAGTGAAAGTAGGAAGGACATTTTGGTCTTCATAATTACTTTTTTTTATTCATTAAAAAGATACATACTGGGATTCGAACCATGACCATTTTAAAGAAAGGCAAAGATCATAACCAATCACACTAAATACATTTGTTGTATCTTTTTAAATTAAAAACATATAATAGCAGGGTGGGAAAAACTCTTCCCCTATTTCAAATTTCCTATTCCAGGAGCGTTTGTAGGAATGGTGGAATAGGGAGTGTCAATTTTTTTCTCTTTCCTCTGTGGAACGGGCCAACTTACCGTACACATGCGGATTTAAACGGGTCCAGGAGTGTCAATTTTTTTCTTTATACCCTTTTATTTCTCCGTGGTGATAAAATATATATGAAAAGGCAAAAATAATACTCCTTTTTATTATTAAAAATAAAAAATTTAACAATAAACTAATGCATGGTATCTAATGGGCTAACCCCTAACCATAAAACAAAAGAGTTGAATGAGCCTGACCTACATGGGATTTGGTCATCAAGTAAAACAAATGAACATCATTGGTTTGCCATTCTAAAACAAGCTATTTTCTCTGACATAATATATATTATGCTATTATTTTATATCTTAGTGGCTAAAATATAATGTATTTTAAAGTTATTCAATGGTTCAACCTCGACCAAGCCAATTAGTCCAATTTTTATCATTTCAAATATATATTTTATAATTATTTGACATCATAATGATCAAATTATAGTGTATTTTATAGGGAATCGTTTGGTATTTGTTAGTAAAAAACTAAACATAAAGATCTATTTGGTTATTTTAAACATTAAAACGATCCTAAACATTTTCAGTTCCTTTTGAATTTATATGGTTTTATTCCCAAATAAGTGATGTGCAAATGGCGAATTGTAGTCGTCTCTTTTCTTTCACTATTTTTTATTTTCAAATAGAAAGTTTAAAAGTAAAGAATAATTAGAATTTGGCATGGGTCGGTCAAACAGGTTGAATTTCAAGTTTTGGTCTGTTTGTTTTATGCATTGCAAATTTATTAGCATGTTGATGGAAATGGCTTGGAAAAAAGACATATAAGTTGTACCTTTGCAGAAATGTCCTCAAATGTTTGAATGCTTTGTGAATCAGGTTCTGTGACTTTTGTGATGGTGTATGTGCTTGACGATTGCTCGATGTTGTAACTACTTAATTTGAGAGTAAATCTTTTGATTTTCCCTATGAGTTGTGATACCAGTTCTGGTGGTTGCAGCATGTTGTCGTTGTTGGCCTGTAAAAGTTGTTCCGTCGTGATGCTAAATACCTTTCTTTCTTTTTTAACAAATTGTGTAGTAGTGCTATGAAACAGACCACCCATGAACGCTACGCTTATTATGGTCTGTTCTTACTTCCGGTGGTGAGAAATTGTGAATTGAGAATCATATTCGCCTACCGCACTGTGTCTGGTTGGTGGATGCTTACTATGCTCTCTAGAGTTATGAAACAGACTACCCATGAACGTTCCCCTTAAGAGTCCATAACTTTGCGAAAAACCAAATTTAGGCAATCAAAGGTGGTGGATGTTTGATGATTTTTTATGGCTTAATTGTTTGTGAATTGGATATCTGATCTTTGTATGATTAGAGGGGATGTTTGCTTAATAGAATAATCCATTTTAATTCATATTTATTTTTAACATGAACTTTAGTAACTCAAAACCTTCGAGACACATATCACCTACTGCATTGTATCATTTTGCCTGGGTGCTTGCTGTGTTGTCAAACTTCTTTGCTGCTGTTGCATTTACACTAACAGGGGAGTTAAGAACCCATGAATGTTTCCGTTTGACACAAACAAGAGGACTTACTTCTAAATCGTGCACTAAAGATGATTGGAGGAAACATCTCTGTTGCAGTTGATACACTGGAGACCAGAACAAAAGCAACGTATAACATCAAAACCAACCATCTGAACTATTAGCATTGTTGCTTTACTCTTTTTTCGTGGTTGAGTATCCTTCAAAAAATTTAGTTTGATTTTAGAAAATTTTGCTTCTGCCGTCCTGTCTTGCCACCAACGCGTGCAATAGATGGAGATGGCAGAGGCGAAGGCTATTTTTGTGTTGTTGTTGCTGGTTTAGGGATCGGTTTGTGAAGAAGAGGGAGAAGAGAGGGGGAAAGGGAAATGCATGAGAGGGGGATAACTCTTTTCTCCGACAAAAATGGAGTGAAGAAAGGAATTATGATCAGTAAGGATATGGTTATCTTACATAACTATGTCTATTCTGTTTGAATTGAGCTTGGGAGGTAGTGATAAGGACGAGCTGCAACCAATTCATAGTGATAAGAGTGCTATGAACTGTGATCATGTATTATTTCAAGTTAGAAGGTAGTTTCAGTATAAGGATTATTTAATTTGACAAGTTGTTTCGTCCATGATTTTTGGTAGTTTCAGTGCCATTCTAGCCATTGTTTAGTCTGTAATTTTTGAGAATTGATGTGCGAGTAATGACTTTCACTTAGCTTCAACTATTATGTGTGTATTTATTGGCATGTGATAGAATTCTCTTTTCCTTTTCTTTGATATCAGTTTCATACTCTAATTGTATCATTTGTACATAGGCAAATCATGCTCGAGATGACAACTCGCCGATATGGCTGGTGCAAGGAATGAAGCCATCATTAAAATTCAGACCGACAACGGGGAGGGATGCCTAGGACTAATTCAACGATGATTGATGATGGTATGATAAAAACTGCAGTCTGCATCAGCACCAATTTCTAGGACTAAGTAAAGTTATTCAACCCAGAACTCTGCTTAGCGCTAAAAATTACCCTCACCCAACATTGATCCTGTTTGACCCACTTCTGAAGAGTCAAGATATATTACTAATTCTCTCTGTTCGTATTTTTTTATTGACTCTTTCTGACCCTTTAGGTTGGGGCGGGTCGGGAAGAATCAGATTAGTGGGTCGGTCCTAATCAAGTGGAATCACAATCCCTTCACTCTCACTTGCTTTCTCTCCCATTCCACAAGTGGGTAACATACAGTAATCCGGCCAACGGGCCGGGTAATAAGCTAGTATCTAATAATATCCTACTTATAGTAACGATGATAATTATGGAATAACCCGGAAATTAGGTTTCTATCAACGACACATCTAGAGACCCATGGTTCTATAATTTTATTACTTTACTTACCATATTCTACACTCATTCGTTGGTTATGCTTGGCCTTCGATTGGGAAGTTGTAGTTAGTGTGAGTCAATGAGTCATTTATGCATGATATAATTGAGCTTTGGTATGTATGATGATGCTCGAGTACACCTTGTTCAATAATGTATGTTTACTTTTATGCATCTATAACTTGAAAACCCCCTAAACTATTGTACTTTTCCTTGCTTTCCTTTTCTTTATTTGTTACTCGAATGAAAACTCTTAAAGAAGCTTTCTATTTCGTGCTGAGTATAAATGATATTGTGTGAGTCGTTATGCATTTAAAAGACTTTGCAAAATACAACCCACAAACTTGATGGGAAAAGAAAAGGAAGATTGTCGGTCGTAGAAGAGGAACAAGGGCCCGTTTGGATGAAGGATTTTGATGAAGGATTTTAATACAATCCCTCACAATGAGGGATTGTAATAAAATCACTCGTTTGGAAAAGTCATAAACAATGAGAGATTTTAATCGCAAGGAATTTCAAAAATCTGCAAATGAGAGATTTTAAAATAGCTGATGGGGTCAGCTATTTCTAAATCTCTCACTAATTCATTTTTTTTCTTCCAACCATTGCCCTCCATCCTTTCTTCTTCCATGTTCCTCATTCAGACGAATTTCTCTTCTCTGTTCCTTCCAAAACGCCAATCTCTCTGTCCATTTCAAACACAACGCACAAATCGCACAAAATGTTCGAGTTCGAGACTATCGAAGCTTTGCAAGGAGGAATTGGCAAGGACACTAGAGCTGAAGCTCCGCGATGATGTCGAAGTCAGAGCTTCGTGATGACGCCGGAGCCTCTCGTGGATGTTGGTGTCGGGTACGCTTGCGGTCGCAAACTCTGAATCGCTTCCTTCATCCTTCGACCTGTAGCTTCGTCGACCCCATTCATGATTGGAGTTCTCTGCGGCGTTGGTTGGCCTTGGGCTTGGTTGCTTCTATTTGACAAAGCGGTGGGGTTTCCTTTGTTCATGAGAAATAGATTGGAATCGAAACTAATGGACAAGTAGTGGCCAGAAAGGAGGAAGCGGATGAACGTGTACTTGATTATGCATCCTCTGTCACTCGCCGGGGATGTTGCGGCGAGGATACGAGGAGCACCAAATCTGGGTTCGTTTGCTGGAACAGCGAAGAACACTATGAACAAAGGAAGGGCAAAACAATAATCTAGCTTTTTTCTTTAAAAACCCGGATCCAATTCCAAACGAGTCAATTGGTACAAATCCTGTGTCTAAATTTCATGGGTTTTTAAACAAGGGATTTTAACCCAAATCCCTCACAAATCTCTTGTATTAAAATTATGCATCCAAACGACCTCAGAGAGGTTTCAGGGCGACAACAGTAGTGTTGTGTAGAAGGAATAAGACAAGAAGGACGAACGAGGAAGAAGAGGTTTATAAATTTCTTATACTGATAAATTAAAAAATTAAACTTATTTATTTATTTGGGTGAGGTGTCCATTAGGTGTATTTCCTTTAATTATGTTGTTAAATTTAACGGGAAATGACTATTATTATGTAATGTTATCAAAATTTTGACTTATTATTTATTTTAATAGATATTCTTAATATTCGAAATGAGGAAGAGATCTGACAAATTAGTATTTATCCAAAAAATAGTATCTTTTAAGAACCGGGTGGCACATTTGGATCCAGTTGTTTGGTGTTGTCACGCCAGGTTGTGCTCCACTCCACTCCAATCCAAGTCCAAGTGGTCAGAGGCTGCCAAGATTGACCCACATGCTTTATGTTGCACATGACTCGAGAAGCTTTGAGTGGCTACAGCCTACAAAAGCACAAATTTCTGCCTGCTAGGTCTGACCACACGCACGCGCACGTGGATTCATTCTTTTCCGTGAACTAGCCAGAGATGAGCGCATTGCATTGCATCTTTCTCCATCCAACCCACCTCTTATACCTTCCATCAATCCTTTTCTTTTATTTCCCCCGTCCTTGTATTGTATTATTACATGCTATGAGTTGAACAAAAAATGATTACAACTTGGATGCCGGGCCACTGACGGCAAGTTGAACAAGCTCCCGCCGCAGGATCTTTCCCGCCGGCGACTTTGGAATGGAATTGACGAACGCCACCCTCCTGATTTTCTTGTACGGCGCAACCTGCACAAGGGTTTGGGTTTTAGGGATGTAAAGGCACCATTTTTATTACACTATTATTAACTTGCAAAAGGGCACAACGGCATTCTCCAAAACCATACTAGTTAGTTTAGCTACCTGCTTTGCTACAAAGTCCATCACTTCAGCTTCCGTAAGCTGGGAACCTGGTTTCCTCACCACGAATGCCATGGGGATCTGCCCCGCATCATCATCCGGATACCTGCAACACAATAAACCAGTGATGAAACTCTCTTTTAACAGCCCTAATCCCTTATATGTAGAAGCAGCAAACAAACAGCTAGCTTTGCCTCCACACTTACGGGATCACAGCAGCATCTGCAATTTTGGGATTGGATTGAAGCAACGCTTCCAACTCCGCAGGTGGTACCTGCACATTTCGCCACATTGTCAAACCTAACACTCAAACTTTTAACAAGCTGAACAAGTTGGGTGGGACTGGCCGTGGTATAGTTCACCTGATAAGCCTTGTACTTGATCAACTCCTTCAGCCTGTCCACAATGTAGAGGTACCCTTGAGAGTTGATGTAGCCAAGATCACCAGTCTTCAGCCATCCTTCCGCGTCCAGAGTTTCAGCAGTTGCCTGATCATTCCCAACATAACCTGATAAACCAACAAAGCATGCAGCCATTTTCCACCATGTAAGCTAAAAGTCGAATCCTCCCAAGAGTTCTTCCTGTCTATTCTGCCAGCCTGACCTTTCATGATAACTGGGCCTCTCAACCAAAGCTCCCCTCTCTGGCCAGGACCCAGAGCCTCCCCTGTCTCCGGATCCACAACCTTGGCCTCCAGATTCTCCGAGATCCGACCCGCCGACCCGTAGTTCTTCATTTCCTCCGCATCTATCATTCTCGTTCCCCCTCCCCCGCTCTCCGTCAACCCATATCCCTGCCTCCCACAAAATTTCAATCACACCTACCAAAATTCTTCAATTCAATAGAATACCCAGCAATTAGACTACACACCTGGATGATGTCCACGTCGGGGAATTTCTCCTTGAACTTCTCAGCGACATCCTTCCCGAGCGGGGCCCCGCCGCAGCCCAGTACTAAAAGCGAGCTCAGGTCGTACTTGTTGGTCAGCTCCGACTTCACCATCCCCACGATTAGCGGCGGAGAAACCGGCATGTAAGTCACCCTGTACTTCTCCACCGCCCGCAGCATCCCTTCGAAATCGAACCTCTGCATCAGCACCAGCGTCTCCCCGATCGCGATGGCCTTCACCAGCATGAAGAAGCCGAAGACGTGGAACAGCGGCACCGTCATGAGAGCCACCGGGTGCGGGTCGGGTTGGGCCGGGTCGTGCCGATGCCGGTTGTGGTAGTACCCGGATATGAGTGCGATCATGTTCCGGTGACTCAATCTCACTCCCTTCACATTCCCCGTCGTTCCCGACGAGTAAAGAATCGCGGCGGTGTCCGATTGCCTGGGTCCCAAGGCGGAGGGTTCGGCGGCGGGAAGAATTGTGGATTCGGTCAATAAAGAGAGGAATTGAGGGGAATCGACGAGAATGGTGGGGAAGTGAAGCGGAGAAGAAGAAGAAAGCTTCGGGGCTGTTTGGGAAGTGGCGAAGGCGATTTTAGGTTTAGTGAGTTGGATTTGGTGAGCGAGTTCGGACTCGGAACTCAGAGGGTTGGAAGGCGAGACGGCGACGCCGAGGGTCATGAGTGCGAAGTAGAGAACGGGGGTGTGGACGGAGGCCGGGCAGAGGATGAAAGCGACGTCGTTTGGGGAGAGGGAAGGGTAGAGCCGCTTGAGAGCGAGGGAGAGGGATCGAGTCTGGCGGAGGAAGGCAGCGTAGGTGAGAACTGCGCCGGTGGCGGCGTCGATGACGAAGCTCGCGGACGAGAGGTCGGTGACGGTGGGGGAGGTGCGGAGAAGGGAGGTCGCGTAATGGGCGAGGGAGAGGGGCTCGTCGGCCGGAGGGAGAGGCGTGGGAGGCCGGAGGCTGTGGAAGATTTTGGTCTTCCGGCAGAATCCGCTGTTGGGATCCACGCAATCGCGGCTGCGGTCGGCGGCGGCGGCGGCCATGGTTGGAGAGGATGCAAAATGTTATTGAATGGTGGATGAGACTCGAGTCGAGACTGAGGAAGGTGGGGCGTGTGGTGAATGATTGGTGATGACTGGGCGTACTACAAATTCCCAAGGTTATATTTTTGGGACCAAAGAGCTGCCTGGCCAGAGAATAATGTTGGTTGTCAAACCGGTTTAACCCATTGGCCCGATCGAGTAGGTGGGTAGGCCGACCGTTTTAACTCGGATTAGTCCTGATATATGGTAAAAGTTATCATATTATTCATACGGTTAAATTACATGTTTGGTCACTCAATTACATAACTCTTTCACGTTTGCCTCCCGAATTATTTTTATTTCTTATTCGCCCATAACTTTACAAATCATTTCACCATTGGACACCGACTGTCAGTCTCTGTTAGACTCCGTCAGTTTTTTGATAATGTGCCAAAAAGAACAGCTGACTGGACTGTTAAATTAATGATATGTCAATTTAAACAAAAAATAAAAATTATCAATCTGACGAAACGGTGTCGCTCTCGTGGAGCGGGCACAAGTGTGAAGTGTCTCTCCTGTTCGGGTCGGGTCTCAGCCGGATTTGGACTCAACTCCCTACTCTGCTGAACCATCATCCTCGCCTGCCCACCACCGCTGGATGCGAGGTAGTTCCTCTTCATTGGGGATATCAGATTGCAAAAAATAGGAAAGAGAAAGATTGGAGCAAAATGGTTATTTGTATTTTTTTTTTCAGTTTTGAAGACCTCTGCATCGTTCCTTGCCTCGTGGGAATCAATAGAGTTATTCTGCTAACCGCCTAAGTTGTTAGTATATACTAACTAATATCCAAAATGTATAAACTAGTATTCAAGTTTGCTGATTTTATGAAATAATCATAAAGTATCTAGATAGCACATACTAGTATTCAAAACATCACAAAACTAGTATCCAACTCACATATTATTATTCAGCCAATCAATTACCAACTAATATCCACAATCAAACCAACTAGTATTCAATATAGATACTTTTATGTGTTATTTGGATACTGATTATGTGATGTATGAATACTAATTTGTGTTGTCTAGATATTAGTTTGTGAATTTGGGATAATACTTGATTCATGGTGGATATCAGTTAGCAAACCTTGAATACTAGTATGTGCTCTTTAGATACTTTTGTACTACTTCATAAAAGCAACAGACTTGGATACTAGTTCATTCATTTTGGATATCAGTTAGTATCTGCTAACGAATCTTAAGTTAGCATATTAACTTTTTAGTGTGGGAATCGAGATCTGTATGGTCTTTCATTGAATTTAAACTTTCCTCCTCTTATTGAACCGCCGCCGCAGCTGACATCATTGCAAGGAATCGAATTGGAAGAGAAAGTTATGGAAGAGAGATTGAATTAGAAAAGGAAATAGATTTGTTGTCTGTCATCGGCGCAGATATCTTCCTCGCCGGAGAAAATCTCCTGCTCCTCGCCTTCAGATGCTTCATCGTGACTTCCTCATACATTTATAAATTATATAAAATTCCGTCTAACATATGAATAATAACATATAACATTACACTAAAATAAATGAAACCTAAATCAGCCTTATAAAAAAACATTACACTAAAATAACATGTCGTACTTGGATCCAACATATAGTAAAATTTCTCACACCAATATAACATTAATGTTCAAAATTTCAACTAAGAATTCCAAAAATTGAGTGAGGCGAAAAGAAAAAACCAAAAAATATAAGCACATTTCATAAACTAAAGGAAAAATCACGCCCTTTGACATCCAATCCAATACCTTGCAACGAATCGACCCAATGAATGTGTACGGTCCATTTTTCTTACTGACTCAGTGTCAAAACGGGCCAACCGGGTTGCCTTGTATTGCTCTATACTGCAGCAGTAATTTATATGTATTAAGACTTTTTAAAATGGGTTTTAGGAGTGCATTTGGTCCATATGAATATGATTGACGATTACAGCATATATTGCATAATTAATGTCCACACATCAGACTGGTGACCGGACCTAAAGGGCCAAAGCTAACAGACAACGAATTTAATGTCACCTCAGTTAGGTCCTCATCGATCGAGCTTTAAATTTATAAGTCGATATGCACTCTCTATTCAACTTCAACTAAGCCAAACATAACCTAGCTAGGGTTGTAGTAAAGTGGCTCGGTCATATTGTAAGGGAAGTCTAAACTTACTATTACTTCACTCCGAACTACTATCTAATTAAATCAAAGGTTGGGTGTTTAAACTAATCTAATTTACTCCTAAAGGCAAAATAAACAACCAAGTGGTTGAGAGGTCGCTAGAGGTGAGACGGTTAGGGGTGACAAACGGTAACCCGGTAATCGGTTTACCATTTTATCGAACCGGTAACCGGCGATAACCGGTAAACCAATTACCGACGGTGAACCGATTACCGGCGGTATCGGTAGTCGAGTGTGAAATGGGAAAGTTCAGTATAACGGCCCCAGTTACAGTAATTACCGAGGGTTAGTCGGTAATACCGATATCGGGGACCAGTACACTGCGTTTTGGCTAGCACCACTCCAAACCCTAAAAACGAATCCCTTCGACCCTTCCCTTCGTTTCCACTTTCGTTTTCCCCCTCTCCTTCTCCTCTCCGCTCAAACCTGTCTCGACCGACGACCACACAGCCCCCAAAATCGAAACCCAGCCCATACGAGCGACGACGACTCTCCCTTCCGTCGCGCGATTCTCCTGCCCCCCACTGCCCAGAATTTCGGTTCGGTAATTTATCGATAAACCGAACCGAAAACCATTTACAGCCCCTTCTCGCGGTAAATCGGTAAAACCAGTTTGTAACCGTTTACCGGACATTCAGTAACCGGTAAACCGATAACGGTATTCGATCTCCACTCCACCATGATCGGCATACCGTTTACTGGGTCGGTCGGTAACCGGTTTACCAATTATCGATCGATTGCCACCCCAAAGACGGTTGTCTAGGGTCTAATCCTCCTAAAATATTGTTGATTATATGTTGAACCATGGAGGGATGAGAAGAATAGAGGTGGCTGATCAGGCACAACCGAGCCCTAGTCCTCATAGCATGCAGACCCTTATCTGTGAATTCCACTGGAGCCACCATTGCTATAGAGAAAGATGGGAATGAATTCAGCCTTATCTGTAGAGAGGAAGAACAGAGGAAGCTGAACCCTCTTTCCACCAGTTTCTGTATGAGTTTTATCCGTACCCCATCCCACATCCATTAGATTCCCCTATTATCTGGACTAGCCTATTACCCGGCCCGTTGGCCGGATTAGTGTATGTTACCCACTTGTGGAATAGGAGAAAAAGCAAGTGAGAGTAGAAGGAATTGGGATTCCACTTGCTTAGGACCGACCCACTAATCCAATTCTTCCCGACCCGCCCCAACCTAAAGGGTCAGAAAGAGTCAATAAGAAAATACGAACGGAGAGGATTAGTCATATATCTTGAATCTTCATAAGTGGGTCAAACAGGATCAAGGTTGGGTGAGGGGAATTTTTAGCGCTAAGCAGAGTTCTGGTTGAATAACTTAACTTAGGCCTAGAAATTGGTGCTGATGCAGACTGCAATTTTTATTATACCATCATCAATCATCATTGAATTAGTCCTTGGCATCCCTCCTCGTTGTCGATCTGAATTCTAATGATGGCTTCGTTCCTTGCACCAGCCATATCGGCGAGTTGTCATCTCGAGCATGATTTGCCTATGTACAAATGATACAATTAGAGTATGAAACTGAATTCAAAGAAAGGAAAAGAGAATTCTATCACATGCCAATAAATACACGCATAATAGTGAAGCTAAGTGAAAGTCATTACTCGCAAATCAATTCTCAAAAATTACAGACTAAACAATGGCTAGAATGGCACTGAAACTACCAAGAATCATGGACGAAACAACTTGTCAAATTAAATAATCCTTATACTCAAAACTACCTTCTAACTTGAAATAGGACATGATCACAGTTCATAGCTCTCTTCTCACTATGAATTGGTTGCAGCTCGTCCTTATCACTGCCTCCCAAGCTCAATTCCAACAGAATAGAGACAGTTATGTAAGATAACCATATCATTACTGATCATAATTCCTTTCTTCACTCCATTTTTGTCAGAGAAAAGAGTTAACCCCCTCTCATGCATTTCCCTTTCCCCCTCTCTTCTCCCTCTTCTTCACAAACCGATCCCTAAACCAGCAACAACAACACAAAAATAGCCTTCGCCTCTGCCATCTCCATCTACTGAACGCGTTGGTGGCAAGACAGGACTGCAGAAGCAAAATTTTCTAAAATCAAACTAAATGTTTTGAAGGAGACCTAACCACGAAAAAAGAGTAAAGCAACAATGCTAATAGTTCAGATGGTTGGTTTTGATGTTATACATTGCTTTTGTTCTGTTCTCCAGTATATCAACTGCACGATTTAGAAGCAAGTCCTCCTGTTTGTGTCAAACGGAAACATTCATGGGTTCTTAACTCCCCTGTTAGTGTAAAAGCAGCAGCAGCGGCAAAGAAGTTTGACAACACAGCAAGCACCCAGGCAAAATGATACAATGCAGTAGGTGATATGTGTCTCGAAGGTTTTGAGTTACTAAAGGTCATATATCCAATTCACAAACAATTAAGCCATAAAAAATATCATACATCCACCACCTTTGATTGCCTAAATTTGGTTTTTCGCAAAGTTATGGACTCTTAAGGGTAACGTTCATGGGTAGTCTGTTTCATAACTCTAGAGAGCACAGTAAGCAGCCACCAGCCAGACACAGTGCGGTAGGCGAATATGATTCTCAATTCACAATTTCTCACCACCGGAAGTAAGAACAGACCATAATAAGCGTAACATTCATGGGTGGTCTGTTTCATAGCACTACCACACAATTTGTTAAAAAAGAAAGAAAGGTATTTAGCACCACGGTGGAACAACTTTTACAGGCCAACAACGACAACATGCTGCAACCACCAGAACTGGTATCACAACTCATAGGGAAAATCAAAAGAGCAATCGTCAAGCACATACACCATCACAAAAGTCACGGAACCTGATTCACAAAGCATTCAAACATTTGAGGACATTTCTGCAAAGGTACAACTTATATGTCTTTTTTCCAAGCCATTTCCATCAACATGCTAATAAATTTGCAATGCATAAAACAAACGGGCCAAAACTTGAAATTCAGCCTGTTCGATCGACCCATGCCAAATTCTAATTATTCTTTACTTTTAAACTTTCTATTTGAAAATAAAAAAAATAGTGAAAGAAAAGAGACGACTACAATTCGCCATTTGCACATCACTTAATCGAGATTAAAACCATGGAAATTCAAAAGGAACTGAAAATGTTTAGGATCGTTATAATGTTTAAAATAACCAAATAGATCGTTATGTTTAGTTTTTTACTAACAAATACCAAACGATTCCCTATAAAATACACTATAATTTGATCATTGTGATATCAAATAATTATAAAATATATATTTGAAATGATAAAAATTGGACTAATTATGTTGGTCGAGGTTGAACCATTGAATAACTTTAAAATACATTATATTTTAGCCACTAAGATATAAAATAATAGCATAATAGAAAATAACTTGTTTTAGAATGACAAACCAATGATGTTCATTTGTTTTACTTGATGGCCAAATCCCATGTAGGTCAGGCCCATTCAACTCTTTTATTTTATGGTTAGCGGTTAGCCCATTAGATACCATGCATTAGTTTATTGTTAAATTTTTTATGTTTAACAATAAAAAGGAGTATTAGTTTTTCCTTTTCATATATATTTTATCACCACGGAGAAATAAAAGGGTTTAAAGAAAAAAAATTGACACTCCTGGACCCGTTTAAATTCGCATGTGTACGGTAAGTTGGCCCGTTCCACAGAGGAAAGAGAAAAAAATTGACACTTCCTATTCTACCCTTCCTACAAACACTCATGGAGCAGGGAATTTGAAATGGGGGAAGGGATTTTTCCTCCCTGCTGTTATATGTTTTTAATTTAAAAAGATACAACAAATGTGTTTAGTGTGATTGGTTATTATCCTTGCTTTTCTTTAAAATGGTCATGGTTCGAATCCTAGTACGTGTCTTTTTAATGAATAAAAAAAAGCAATTGTGAAGACCAAAATGTCCTTCCTACTTTCACTCTCGTTGCAGGAAATTTGAAATGGAGCTCCCGTTTTTCCCTTCGGCGTATTATATTATGTGTAGATTGTGAGCGGTGAAAAACCCACAATTATAGTTTTAATTACCAACCCTAGTGGTGAATAATTGTGGGTACCGTAGTCCGTAGACAACCGTCTCTGTGGTTGTCTGCACAACTGGTGATGCATCTAACTTCGAATGTCATCTTTTGATTCTTTTCACCATCAATGTAGAGAGAGCAAAATGTTTTAAACTCTGCATTTCCATTGTGCAATTTTGACATCCCCGCACAATATACGGAACTCAGCTGGCTTGCCTCCAAAGGGTATAAGACAATAGCTGGAGTAAATTTTCATTCTGAATGGCATATCAGCATCACTACCGACTTTGCATTCTATAATTCTTAGAGATATTCAAAATTTTCAAGAATTCATTGCAAGTATAACCCGATGTTACAATGAAATGTAATCCACCCATCCTTCCTTACAAAGGCCCCAGATTGGCCCATCCTGGATCGCAATCACAAACCACCATGACAAGAATAACAGAACAAGAGAGCCTTACGAAGATTGTCAAGTTGACAAGTACAAGTTTTTCATCAAATGGTTTTGAAGTACAATTCTGCTTCCTAAAAGGACAGATGGTACATGGAAAAGCCCATTCTTGGTCCTCTTGTTATGCTCTGTGCATGTTATTTCTCCAGCCAAAATGTCATAAATAGCATCACATCAATTCTGGAAAAAAAAATTAACTTGAGAGAATTCTGACCTTAATCGGACAACGTGGTCACAAGCGTTTGATACAAGAAACAAAGTGAGTTCAGAGAAGTAGAAGAAGAAAATCACTAGAACAATGTGCAGCAGCCTCCGGTGATTGATATACGAAGGCACATCCATTAGGCCTTTTCCTTTTTCTCCTCAGACAAGTACCTACGGCCAACAAGGAAATAAACCATTCAATCAAAGATACAATAACAGGAAAAGAGAATGGGATTCTGGACTTCTGTAACTAAACCATGCATTAGCATGGGAAGTTAGGTAACTTACCCTTGAGCCTTTGCCCACCGTGAGAACTGATAGAGTTGGACAGTCTCATTTGAAGCATGACAGGCTAGAAGGAGATAGTTGCGTGGCTGTACCATCCAGGCAAACCTCATGAACAATGCTGAATAAACACACATCGCTGCAGGACCAATAAGCTCTCAGTATTAAGCAGTTAATTACAAGTACAACAACAATGAAAACAAAAGTTGGTTTGCTAAGCCCTTTCACTCAGAAACACCTACCTCCCGTCATATTCGGAGAGATCATCTCTGGGGGTTTCTGCATATCTACCAGACCCTGTTAAAAATAGTAACAGAATCTTAGAATTTCACTGCAAGTATAGCAAAAGCAGATCTAAAAGCATGCCAAAAGCAGATCTTTCAGAACATACAGCTGCCACAAATCCCCAATTCGCCACAGGTCCCCAAAAGTGTGTCGTCTTTGGACCAACAGGGCTATTCCAGAAAGCTTTGAAGGCAGCCATTTTACAGGAGAATCTGCTTTACACCACTGCAATGAACACAAACAAAGTTGGATCATACAAATCCATGTACAGGAAATGTCAAAAACAGACAATTGACTTGGCAATGCTTGTCGCTCAAGGGGAGGGGAATGGGGGAAAGAGAGGGACATGGAGAACATGCAGTCAAATGATTGGTTTATCATTGGAAGCATTGAAAAGTGATACATTCATAGTTCTGACTTCTGAGTGAACAGATATTTCATATCACAGAACAGCTAGCTACGGTACACTTAAAATGTTCGATCTTGCCAATGTATCTAACTTATTGGACGCCAAAACACTTCCATATTGAAACGGTTAACATTGCATAGTTTCTCCAGCAGCAGTGCCCATTTGCATTAGCATACATGGTAGAAATTTGAACTTCAACAAGGCATAGACAAGAAGCAATGAAACCAGTCATCTAAGGAACCTGCCGACAGAGAACTGAGAAGTAATCGCAACATTGGAAACTAAACGAATTCCTCAAATCCATACTGCCTTCTTGACCTAAAACTCCATTGTCGACAAGACCACAAAACTTCACCCCAGTTACCTAAACATCCTTTTGGCCATGAAAACGATAGAACCCACATCCCCATCAAGGTAAAACAAAATTAAAAAAACACTCTTTGGTGCGACTCGCAAACAACCAATAAAACTCCCAGCCCAACCTCCCTAGTACGCACAATCAACCGAACAAACAAATAAAATAAAGCATAAGCTCCAGAAGAATGTGCCAGCCAGAAGGGACGCTGGCGCCTTAATAATAACAACTAATTCAGTCCATTACCACCAGAAAGCAAAGCAATTGTCTTGAGACTTTATAGGACGATAACGATTCAGGTGCCCGAGTTAAAGAATTCTAATTCCAATTCCAAGTAATGGGCGATATTCAGCGCATATAGGGCCATGATTATTTAGGCCTCTGCAGGAACAAAGAAACAAGAAAAACACAGGTCGGAGAGAGAGAGGGCAAGGCGGAAGCGTACCTGAGGAGGGGAGATCGCCTGAGAAAAAAGAGCCGGCAGTCCAGTCTCTCTGGCTGGTGGGATTTTTTTTTTTTTTTTATAAACTCTGGCTGGTGGGATTGAATACAAGGGCAGGGATAAAATTTTAAATTTGGAGGCCGGCCATATGAGAATCTTTTCAGTATTGATATAAATATATGGGTTAATATATAAAAATAGAGAAATTTTACAATGATATATAGTATTGGTGCTATAGGTTTTTGCCTTTATGGTACAACTTAAAATTGTATATTTACGTTATGGTACAACTTCTTATTGTACCTATACTTTTTTGTGCAAATTCTTTTACGGTACAACTTGAACTTGTACCTTTATGTGATGGTACAACTTCAAGTTGTAAAGTTGTACCATAACATAATGGTACAAATTGTTTTATGGTACAACCTAAACTTATACATTTAATGTTATGGTACAACTTTGAGTTGTACATTAAAGCACCAATGCTATATAGCATAGTAGAAGTGCTCATAAAAATATCATAGCCAATCTTTTTATTCGTGACCTCAATTATGCATTAAAGTTACGAAATTAGTTAAAGCCAAGATTTGACCGTCAGCTTGGAAGGTCAACATGCCACGTCATTGTCAAGACAGTACAGACCACTTAAAATTTTGGTTTTTTCCACCTATTACCATTTATCTTTTCATTTTGAACGAAAGAAGTAAAAAAAGGAATAAAAATTAAAAATGTCGGGTCCCAAATTTTTTAAATGATAATAGGTGGAAAAATAAAAAAAATTATTGGTCTATTGCTGACTTGGCAGTGACGTGGCGCGTTTGACCGTCCAAGATAACGATCAAATATCGTGTTTGGCCAATTTCGTAACTTTGATGCATAGTTGAGGCCACAAAGTTATAGATCGAAAAGATTGGTCAGAATGTTTAATTTATGAAAAGTTCAGGTCATACAAATATATTAACCCTAAATAAATTTAAAGAAAACAATAGTAAATTTTTTATAGAAACCTCGGTATTATTTCATTAATGTGTGAAATAGTACAGGAATCAGCTAGAAAAATAGATGGCATGGAAGTCCACACTTCAGTTTCATCCCAATTACATTGGTATTGGCCATAAGATGAGCGACCCGGTTAATATTCCGGCCCAAAAAGGTGACAGAGATTGAGCCCAATCTACTGAGCTTATCGCGAAACTCTTTGCAATCAACTCCTTCCTACGTTATCGCCACTACCTCCTTCTTCATTTTCTGCACAATACTTAGACAATCCATTTCTATATGCCAATGAACCAAACCATGCTCCACTGTTAGATTCGCTCTCAAACTGATTGTCCGACACTCCACCATCTCTAGCACCCACTGAGTCCGTCTTCTCCTTACCGCAGCCAGCAGGAAATTGCCTTGGTTATCAGGAATTACAACCCCAAACCTAGATCCCTCTTCCTCGAAACAAGCCACATCCACATTTACTTTGAACTCCACAGTCGAGGGAGGGCTCCAGCGATACTCCCCCCTTCCTTGTGTGCTCACCTGCCTCTGTTGGTGGTCCAGGTAATCCGTTAACCATCTTTCTGCTTTACCCATCACTTCAAATTCTTTGAGTTTCTTCTTATTCCATAGCTGGTTGTTCCTTTCTTCCCAGAGGAACCATAAAGCCACCAGGAATTGACCCATCTACTCCTCCGAGATCGTTTCTTCCAATTCGGCCATCCATTCTTCGCAAGAGGTAAAATCTTGTCCCTTCTCGAACAGTAGGCTAAGATTGCTAGGTCTCCAGACCCTCCTTACTCACCCACAGTCCTGAAAAAGATGCTTTTGAGTTTCTCGAAGCCCTCAAAAGGGACACTCATCTCAGCCCTTCTGAATTTGATTTATAATATTTGCTCACATGGGGAGAACATTCTGGATCCACTTCGAGGAAAAAAAATTTAGGCTCACCGGTAGGGATGGCAACTTTGCCCATACCCATGGGTTTCTTACTATCCAACCCAATTGGGTTGGGTATGAAATCCAAATAGATGGATATGGGTAGAGTTTGATGGGTTTGTACCCATACCTAGGGATGGCAGTTTAGGCCCGATCCGACGGATTTTCCCCGACCCGGCTTGTGATGGGGCGGATAAAGCCCGATCCGTGACAGGACATAGCGGATCTTGCCCCGCTCCACAGCTTGAACAGAGCAGGCATGGATACTGGTGATGCCCCGCTCCGCCCCGCCCCGCCCCGCCCCGCATAATATCCATTTGTGGCGTGCGTGCAAGGGTTGCCTGCCTGCCTCTGTCATCTACCCAAGAAATTTTGAGTTCCCAAAATTGAAATTCCCCATCACCTTCCAACTTCCCAAAATTCCCTATCATCTTCCGTCTTCCCAAATTCCCAATCATCTTCCAACTTTTCCCTCTGTCATCAATAACTCCATTAGCTTCCCCATAAACTAGAGGCTTTAAAATAGAAGATGAAGGGCTCGCAGAAGACTACACCATCAGAACTCATAATAGCATATCATCTTCATCTCCTTCACTGCCAAGCAGGAGCTGTCGAGGTCAAGTTGTGTTCTTGCTATTACTTGTAAGTTGGCTCTACACTGCAGATTGCAATCTTAATTTCTTGTGCTGATTGTCCTGTTTTAAGTAATTTGTTCATCGTTCTACACCTCCAGACTGCAATCTCAATTTGTTGTATTGATTGTTATTATTTGTTTATCCCTGTCGGCAGCCACACTCATGGACGCTTCTGCTCCACAATCTGAGCCTGTGGTTGTGCCAAACCCTTCAAATGTTGTTGTTGTCCAGCCTCAAGATCCCCCTATTGAAGCAACAAATAATAACGAGAATCACCAGCGTGGTACTGGTACACTGGGGAAGGTTTATTCAAAGTGGTGGGCACATTATCATAAGGTAGAAGGTGATGGAGTGCCAAAGGCTAAATGCAAGTATTGCAGTAAGAAGCTTGTTGGAGACCCGAAGCAAGGGACAACCCATTTGAAGAATCACTATTATAGATGTTCTAAAAGGAAAGCCACAGACATAAAGCAACAAGTTTTACAAGGTAACATGGGTAAAGATAAGTTCCAGCTTACTCCTTTCAGCTTTGATCAGGATAATTCTCGCAAAGAGCTTGCAAGAGAAATTATCAAACATGAGTATCCCCTGACCATAGTGGATCATGAAGGATTTCGAAGCTTTTGCCAGAGCTTAAATCCATGTTTCAAGATGGTGTCAAGGAACACAATTAAAAAAGATTGTTTTATCTTATATGAACTCGAGAAGGAGGCAACAATGAAACTCTTTGAGAGAAGTGAATGTCGTGTGGCTATAACAACTGATATGTGGACATCATCTCAGAATAAGGGCTTTATGGCAATCACTGCCCATTACATCGATGAAAGTTGGAGATTGCAGAATCGAATTATCAGGTATACCATATTCTGCAAACTTAGTTCTTTGTGACTGGTTTATTTCTTGCTGCCTGGTTTGTTTCTTACAAATTACAATGACTTTTTTAGTTTTGGAACTCAAGTGCTTTCATTTGTCTGTTACTTCAGGTTTAAATATGTGCCTTCTCCACATACAGGCGAAGCACTTTGTGAAGAGCTGAAGCAGTGCTTGCTGGACTGGAATATTGACCATAAGTTGTCAACTATCACGGTTGATAATTGCTCAACCAATGATGTGATGGTGAATCTGCTCCTACAGAAGCTCGAGTTGGAGTCTCTTTTGGTTGATGGTACTTTGATCAACATGCGTTGCTGTGCGCATATATTAAATTTGATCGTGAAGGAAGGGTTGAAGGTCATTGGACCAGGAATTGAGAAAATACGAAACAGCATTCGATTCTGGATAGGAACCCCGAAGAGATTGGAAAAATTTGAAGAAACTGTTTGTCAACTTAAAAACAAGCTTCGTATCACATCTGGTAAGAAGCCTACCCTTGATTGTGAAACTCGTTGGAACTCTACCTATATGATGCTGAATACAGCCTTAGAGTATAAAGAGGTATTTGCTCGCTTGAAAATTCGTGAACCAAAGTACAAGTGTTATCCAAGTGAGGATGATTGGATTTTGAGCAAGGAAATATGTGATAGGCTGAAGACTTTTTATAATGCCACTACACTGTTATCTGGCACTGAATACCCTACTGTGAATTTGTGTTTCTCTGTTATTTGTGAGGCTAAGCTTGCTTTAGATCGTTGGAGTGTTTGTGGGATTGCAGCAATTGAGAAGATGGCGTTTGATATGATAGAGAAGTTTAACAAATATTGGTCTAATGTGCATGGTTTAGTGGGAGTGGCAGCGGTTCTTGACCCAAGGTACAAAAAAGAGGTGCTGAATTGTTACTATGGTGAGATCTATCCTGAGAATTGTGAAGAGGAAGTAGAGAAGATTTTGGGCATTTGTCGTATCTTATACCAGCAATATGAAAAAGAGGAACAAGATTAGGGCTGCTAAACGGTACGGTAACCGGTTTACCGTTTACCGTTTTACCGGTTTCGGTAATACCGGAATTGCAAAAACAGTCGCCGGCTACCGAAACCCTTCTCCACCCGGCATACCGCCTTACCGTTCGGTACGGTAACGGTAAGGGAAACGAATCCCGAATTACCGGCTGCCTGAATTTCATCAACGCGCGCCTCCCTGTCTGGCTGCTGTCTGACTGTCTCCCACTCTCCCTGTTGTCGGCTGTCTTTCAAAGATGCACCCACCATTATTTTATCACTTATCAGCACTCAGCAGCATGGCCTCGTCCTCATCAATCACAATCATCATTCATCATTCATCAGTGATGATTCAACACCATTCAGGCATTCACCAACGCCACGTCGCCAGCCCACATGCCAATATGCCATCATTATTCATTATGAAATGGTTTCCATTCCAAATTTCCAATTCATAATGTGACTCATGAGAATAGTAAACACTAAACAGAAACAAAAATTATGGCCGCAACAATTTTTAATTTTGTTTTCAATTCTTAATTTTAATCCAACGCCACATTCCAATTCAATTCTTAAGATAGTAAATAAAATTGAGAATAATAAAAAAACCTAATTCCATTCCAAATGTCAATACTCAATTATCAAATACTCAAACCAAATGTCAATAGTTGTAACTTGTACGTAGTACGTAGAATTCCAAATAGAGAAAATAGAGCAATCTGGTCTGCAGCTTCTAAATGTTTAAATTAAATTCGAAGACATGAAGATAAAAAATAAAATTACTAGTTCCTCACTTGCCACTAGGACCTGTACCACCAACATCAACAAAACCTTGTTGCTTCAAAGTGGTGCGAAGGTTATCATCACCATTATCCTCCTCGTCCTGGTCCTCCTCATCCTCGTCTGAATCTTCCTCCTCTTCCTCCTCCACCACAACAGGTAAACTTTGTTTGACACCTTCACTTGGCTTGGCAGTAGCTCTCTCCATTCGAGTTTGGAAGTTAGTAGTGACTAAGTGTAAAAAAAAAAAAATACAATTGTTACATTTCATCTAATAATATGTAATCAGAAATTGAGTAATGGAAAACTTAAAAATAAATGAAATTAAGAATTCTTACCACTTTCATAATCGATTTGGTCTTGATTTTCATCTTCTGTATCATCAACTTTGTCTGCTTTCTTTCCTCCTTCATACCTTACCCAATCTTCAGCACAAATCAAGGCCTCTACAATGGTGGGGCTCAACGAAGACCTAAACGGACTGAGCACTCGACCTCCACAACTGAAAGCAGCCTCTGAGGCAACAGAGGAGACTGGAACAGCTAGGATATCCTTAACCATCTGGGAAAGAATAGGATATCTAACGCTGTTCTTACTCCACCACAGCAAGATGTCAAACTTCATATCATTATCATCCTCGTTAATAGCATCATCAACATCTCTTAAGTAAATGTCTAGCTCAGAAGAACCTCGAATCCCCCTCTGTAGTTGCTCCTTTCTCATCTTGAAGAATTCAGCATCAAATGTCCCTCCATAAGATGCAGATCCAGTACCATCATCAGCACTAGGAGTGGTAACAGTAGGCTCTGAGGGTTGAGGTTCATACTTCAATCTGTAAACCTCAAACATTGCGGTCATCTCTGTAGTCACATCTTTCACCAAATCGTCTCTTTTCTTCTGCCCATACATCTTACCCCACATCCAATACAAATAAGCCATTTTACGCCTAGGATCTAGCACACACGCCATGTAAACCAGCCTATTTATCCTTAGGTTCTCCACCTCTTCATCATCATCATCATCATCATCATTCTCAAACCAATATTTTCGTACCTTTGCCTCCATTCTTGCTGCCATCCGTTGTATCTCTACATCCATGTCTTTCTTAAAAAGTTCTATCACTTCATAGATGTCAGCAATAGCCTTAAAGAAAGTATGAGCAGTCACATAAGATGTTCCTGATACATCCAAAAATAACAACAAATTATTCACAAATTATTTGAATTACAAGTTGAATCACAAAAGAGTTATGTTTGTTCACATACCTGATACCCGAAAGGTGAGCTCATAAAAGAACTTCAAATACTTCATTAGCCGTCGAATACTGGTCCAATCTTCCTTAGTTGGAAGACCTCTCTTTGAGTCCACATAATCCCGAAATGCAGAATCAGTGGGGCTTCCATGCAAGAAGTTAAAGACAGTCTCAAACCTTTCTGCAGATTCCAACATCAAATAAGTT